GCACAAAAGATACTTAATATTCCCTGGTATGAGTAGGATACTATTTAAGGAACATGGAATGAAAAGCTAATTGTTATTTTATTACATTTATATTAATAATAAAGCAATTGATGAACTTTGATAGTAATTCATCTTTGCTGAAGTTTTTCTCTCCAATATATAATCTCATATGACAAAAGAAGAACTGTAAGTTAACTTCACTCTAAACTACAGTTTGAGTTACAGGAACTCAAAAATAACAACAAAGACAGGCAAACTGTTCCAGACTTAGAGAAGGAAAACTAGTCTATACCACCACCTAGTGGCCTCAGAATACAACACTAGAAAAGTGCTTACCAGAGGATGTATCAACAAAGAACAAACATCTGGAGTTTACATATACAGCAACTGCCCTCCTGCTCAGTTGAGCCAGCATTGGACCCACCTCTCCTGCTTGCTTCTGAAGATTTGCATGATTCTGACCTTTGGAGAAAACCAAGAAGAAACACCATCAAATGGATTGTTGTCTTTGCCTACCTATCTCATGTAATTTCCTTATATAATTTCCACCCCATATAATTTCCACATAACAGATGCCCATTTGGTATGTGAAGGGTAAAAATACATCTTCACACTCTTCAGACCAGATGGGCAATAATTAAAAATTGGTCAGAATGCCTCATACACTGTTATAAAGGGTATAAGTTTTAAAAAGTTTGTCACTATTTAGTAAAATGGATATGTACATATCTTATGACCTGGCAATTCCACTCTTAGGCATATACTCTAGACTAATGGTTCATAGCCTTCAGTACACAGATCCCCAAGGGGTCTATGGATAGAATTCAGAGGGTCTGGTAACTTGAATAGAAAAAAGTTAGATTTTTATAGTTACCAATTTAGAACTGAAAATGTTTTTCCTTTGATTCTGAAGGTAGGCAACAAGTCACAATATTATTAGCAAGATCATAGATTTTGTGACCAATAAAAATCATAAATATCATCAGACCATTTTTATCTATTGTAAATAAAAATTTCTTTAATGCTTATCCCTATTCGAAAATTATATCTCATATTTACCAAGATCTTGTTATTAGCACCCTGATAAAGAAGCATGTCTATTTCTTTTTGAGAATTTGTTTTTATATTCTTTCCAGCTTTTTTAGATATAACTGACATATAACATTCTGTAGGTTTAAGGTGAACAACCTAATGATTTGATATACATATATATTGCAAAATGATTGTTAACGTTAGCTAAGATATATGTCACTTTTTACATACTTACCTTTTGGGGTATGTGTGTGGTGAGAATTTTTGAGATCTACTTTTCCAGCAACTTTCAAGTATATAATACAATTATATCTTGATAATTATAATTCAATTTGTTTTTATTTCTTTTTGTTTTCTTTGTAACCCTATTCAATTTCTCCAAATTATCCTCAAAACTCTAAGTTAAGCTTTATCTCCAACTGAGAAAGGTGAAGTTCTCAGAAAGAGTAATTTTCTCAGGGTCTTACCAACATTTTCCCTAAGTTGCAGTCATGAATTTTACTCTTCACTATCTGTTAAACATTTTCAACTTTGCATTAACATCTAGATGCTGTTGATGATGGGGCTATATGGATGGCAAAGCCACAGGGTAGAACTGTGGGTCCTTAATTTATCATGTATAACTGCCAACTAGGAAAACCCATTTTAGATTCTTAATGAACAAGAAGTGAAACCCTACTGTGTTTAAGACATTATGAATTTTGGTGTCTATTTGTTATAGCAGTTTAGCCTATTTTAATATATCCTTAAAAAGCTGAATCACATTCGTGATAACCAAATACAGCTGAAGAGATAAGAACCGGTCATAAACATATAAATTAAGTTAATGGCCACCTACCAAATACTGAGATACCCAGCTTCCTTTCCTTCTCAGTCACAAGAAACTGGCAATAAGGCTTATAACTCACAGATGGGACCCTGGAATTTTCCTCACAGGGATAACTGACTAGACTAAGCAAAATGACTTCTAGATAATAACAGATGGGTATTTCCCCTCAATGAAATAATCCAGCCAGATAACTCTACAGCAAATGATAGAAAACATAATAAAACCTAAAAAAAACAAATAACTGAAAAATAAATACCTGTAATCGATGTCCTCAGAGATAGAAATATTGAACTCATGAAAAAGAGGATATTGTTTCTAAAAAGAAAGAGCAAGAACTAAATATTCTGGAGAAGGAATAATAAAGGAGCTCTTGGAAATAACTACTGTGAAAGTAGAAGTTAAAAATTCAAAAGATAAGTTAGAAAATAAAACTGTAGCATTGTACCCCCGCCAAAACATCGACCAAAAAAGTAGAGATGTAAAATAGTAGATAAAAAATAAGAAGATCAAATGGTGGCACAGTGTATGAATAAGAAAAGTTCCAGAGATCAACAAGAGAAGAAAAAAATCCAAAAAACACAATAAATGTTTCAGAATTAAAAAGTATCCAGATTGAGGGTGTACTAAAGTGAGAAACAATAAATGAAAAAAAATAACATTATTATCATTATTGTGACTGTTAATTCACAATGTTATTGTTAAATTTCAGAACACTAGGGACATAGAGAAAAACATAAAAAGTTCCAAAGTGAGAGAAACAAAACACATATAAAAAATAGGATTAAGAATGGCATGAATGTCTTAATAAAAGCTATTATAAAAAGGAGACCTGCCTTTAAAAATATGAGGACAAATATTTTCCAATGTGGATTTTATACCCATCCAAAATATGAATCAAGAGAGTTGGTAGAATAAAACACTTTTAGAGGTGCAAGTCTCAAAAGTCTAATGTCCATGTACCCTCTCCTAAAGTTAGCAGTGAAAAAAAAAAGATACAATATCCTGGAAATAGAGGATCCAATAAAAGGTTAATGAGATTCCCCAGGATATCAGTGAAAGATTCCAGGATTGCTACCATGCCATCTTAAAGAACTAGTCCACACTGGAGCAAGAGAACAAAGGACTCCCAAAAGATAACTCTAGAAGATGAAACTGAGCCGATTAGTAATTTTAATAATACTGAGAAGAAATTTATTTTTTGGCAAAGAATATGGTGATTAATAAATAATAGGTATCAGGCAAACAATAGACAAAAAACAAGGCAAGAAAAAGAAACAGAGAAGAAATGGTCACCCTTCTATTGATTAAGATTATAAGTCTAAGCCATGCAGCAGTGACTTAAACTTGAAGAGGACTCCTCATGTAAAAGACATTGGAGATGGGCAGTCCAGGGCACCTAGTAAGGTGTCTCATGGTTTCAGAACCTAGACTTCTTTCTCAGTTTGCCATCTTCAGCATGTGGCTTCCACCTCAGTTCAACAACTCAAGCCCTACATCCACAGTCCAGCAAGCAGAAATAAGAAAGAACAAAGAGAGAAACAAACCCTCCAACATTACTTTAAGATCACTTACAGCAGGTCATAAATACACTAACATATCTCACTGTCCAGGACTTAGTCCCATGGATGCATCTAACTACATGAGTTCTATCATTAATTTAAAAAACAGGGGGCAGGAAAGGTGAGAATGGACACAGAAATAACTAGAAGTCTCTGCTACTTCCTCCAGCACTATCCTCTATATCCTATTTAGGTTTTTTTCAGGATTTACTAATCTGTAAATTCCAAGGGGACAGAGACTTTGTCTTTTGTTCACCTCTGTACCAGTTTCTGGGAAGGTGGCTCAAGCATAGAAGAAATTTAATAAATATGGGTTGAATGAGTGAATGAATTTTTAATTCCAGTGGAGAAAAGTCTAATAAATTTAAATATAAAGATCTAGTCTGGGCACAGATGCTGCTTTGTTTTTTCTTGCTTGGTTAGAAATGGATGTCCATCTACTTGAAAAACTGAATCATCCCCTCTGGCATAACTAATTTTAAAAAGCCTCCCTTCCTCTCAACAGATGATTCAAAAGTCTTTGAGCAAGGCACAACCAATACAATCACACGTGATAACTGTAATAATTTCCTACTCTTACTAGTGTAAGCAACTTTAGTGGGTACAATAATATAACTATTGTGTGTAATTTTGTCTAATTATGTATTGTGCAATAATGTAATGTAATTAGCAAGAAATGTGAACATTAATATGATGTAAATTAATAATGTAACAATTAACTATTCTTAAGGTAAGCATTATTAGATGTGGGAAGAGAAGTATATTTTTGGGGAGTGACATGTAAGAGACCTAAATCCTCGTTTTCCAAGTAACACATACACCTATAACTGAAAATATCAATTATAGGTCTATGTATTACTTGGAATATGAGAAACACCAGAAAATTCCTATAATTTGACAGGAAAAAAAGAAACAGGCATTAGAAGGAACAGCTGAAAATTGTTGAAAGTATTTACTCTGGGGACCAATGATCAGAGCCAGAGAGAACATCAAAGATGTTTTGTTTTTAAGCCTTAAAAAAATTACTTTATTTCAAACTATGTATGTTTAAATCTGACTTTCACGTCTAGTCGGTGCTCTCATTCCTGAGCTGAAAAATACAACCTAAATCACTATAAGGAGCCTTACAAGGTCACGGTGGGAGTGGCGATAGGGAGAGCACTTAAGAAAATGAAGGCTCCCTGGTCTTCAGCTATATGTACATACCGAATAAAACTCAACCAGGCAACAACCTCCACGATTTTAAATCGTTATACATGCACACATCCATACTTCCTTCTCAATGGACAGACCCACTCGAATTCTACACACGAACATTTACGAATTGCATGCAACTGGGCACAGATGAGGTGACGGGCTCAGAAAGGTGGTACAGGAACGACCTCAGCATTCAGCTTATTCCAATGTCACCTATGACGTGGGGGTTAGAATATTTGAGAAAACAAAGGGGGACCCCAGTGACCGTGCTGACACCAAACGGGGCTGGGGCTGGGGCCGGGGCCGGGACTGGGCCGGAGGCCGGAAGCTGGAGCCCTGCGGACTGGGCGGTCCGGCCACGCCTCCCAGACGCCGAAGGTGGAGCTAATCCTGCCGAGCCCCGCCCGACCCTGCGTCCGCCAGTTGTCTGGTCGCTCCTCTTTGTCTGTCGCGAAACTCTGAGAAGAGGAATCTAGTACAGAATACCGCCTCGCTTGCCCTTCTCTGCGCTCCAAGCCGCGCCATGCTGTGTCTCCGGAGCGGCCTAACTAGAGCTCTGGCCGCGCGGATGCCCACGCCTCAGGTACTTGCTGCGGGGACGCGACCAAGCCGTTCTCTGGGAGTGAGAGCGGGGGCGGGGGCGGGGGCGTTTGCCAGAAGCGCGTGGACGCGCGCGTGCGCCCGCCGGGCTCGCGCGCCCAGGCCTGATTCCCCGCGCATGCGGCTAGCTGTCTCTGGCACCCACAGCTGCAACCTGCCGTGTCCTGTGGGTGCCCAAACCATGCAGAGCCAGGAACCTCGTAGCAAGTATGTAACAGACTCATTTAACCTTAGATGAAATATGGACAAAATAAGTTTTTGTGACTCAGCCTTAATTGTTGCGAATTGGCCTAGTCTGTAAATCTAACCAGAGAGATTTTTTCCTTTCGATGTTTATACTACGTCCTTTCTGTGTGGACAGGATAAAGAAAGGGTTTAACCTAGAGACTTTCTGGTGAAGACTAAAGAAGAGCCATTAATAGCTCATACACCCAAGATTAGTAATACAGCCCTTATCATTCTGATTCTCTCTCTACTGGGGCAAGGCCAAGAATTATTCCTTAGAACTTTCTCCTGAATTTTGAATTTCTTAAATGTCGACCTAATGTTCTCTTATAAGTGAATTGGAAGTTATTGCTGTCTAAATGAGCCCAAACTTGAAGATAAGAGAGCCTGAATCATTCCGGTTTCCTCCCCCAGCATAGTTTTACTTTCTGGCATGCAACAAAAGTCACCTCCCCCAAGCAAACACTTATCTCCTGCTATTTAGATTTTCACTGGGCTTCTCCTGTGAGAGATAAAAATTTGTGCCTTTGACCACATATTTGTTTCCAAATACAAATTTCCCTGAAAATCAATTTAAAAAGCAGTTGTGACAAATACCCCCATTGTCCCATTTTCTGCTATATTTTATCTCTAATACTTTTTAAACTATAATACTAAGCAGTTGTGTATTTGTATAATATTCTGTTATTAGAATTTAGTAAAAATGACACAAAAGGCATGTCATCCAAAAGTAGGGAGTAGCTTGGGCAATAGGAACATAACTTTAGTAGACATGAATGGAATGAACTCAAGAAGATAATTAAAAGTATGACATTTTACACAATTAAATAAAATATATAGACAGTTGTGTGTGTTTTAACCAAAAATGTCAGAGAATGAAGACTATTTGACATACCAGGTAGTCAATATAAGCCCACAATTTGTTCATAAGTTTGTACCAAAACTTTTAATAGGTAATTCTAATTACTCAGCTTCAGAATGTTGGCACATGATAACCAAACCTACAATAAGATGAATTTGTAAATTTAAATACCATCTGAGTGTGTATGTATACACACATAAATACAGAGAGGATAATTTCTAGCAGGGCATTTCCCTACCTAAAATTAAATTCACTCAGACTTGGGCGGGAAGGACTAAATTAAAACAAAAATTTATATAGCGAGCATGTGACTGATATAAAAGGAATGAAAGGTTCTTAAGGATATCTCCATCAACCTGGTGTAATCAGATAGATTAAATGCCATTCTTCACATTGCATCTGTAATTAAACCTAATAATGGTTCAGATGATTCTGGCCTGTAGGTTTTTCTTTTATAGCATTTATACAGTCTACCACCATGTTATAATGCAATTGGAAAAATTATAGCTTCCTTTCACATTAATTACACTCCAGTCCTATTTTTTACCACTGATCTACTTCATTGGTTTTAGGAAATACTTCAACCTGAATAACGATTTCCATTTTTAAAAAAACCTTAAGAGTTTTCTGCTAGTAAACCCATTTTTATTGGGCCTGCATATTTTATAAAGTTTATAATACATAACACATATAATATTGACTAAAGATAGAATATTGGCTAAAGAAGGTAAAACATTTATAAATTTATTAGAATTGTATTTATATTTCTTGGGTAAAGGACTCTGATTAAGACCCCAGTGCCTTTTTATGATTAGCTTTCCATGAAAAGGTGGCTACAGTCGACCCCCCCCCCCGCCCGCTAGGAAATAGTAGCTATATATTGAGCATGCTTAAGAGCAGTTATCTTTATTGACATCTCTAAACAAATGTCTGTGGAGAGAGGACATCAGAGGTACAAACATGGATTGTGAGTCTAATGAGTGTCCCTTGTTTCCAAATTCAGATTTGGTTGTAACATAATATTATAAACCCTACCTTCCCAAAACATTTTAATTTCCTTATCTTTTCTCAGGTGTGCTCATCTTTTGCTACAGGCCCCAGACAGTATGATGGAACGTTTTATGAATTCCGTACTTATTGCCTTAAACCTTCAAAGATGAATGAGTTTCTGGAAAATATGAAGAAAAACATACATTTTCGGACAGCTCACTCTGAATTGGTTGGATGCTGGAGTGTAGAATTTGGAGGCAGAATGAATAAAGTGTTTCATATTTGGAAATATGGTACGTATGAGTCATGAGCTTACACATTCAGTATAGATTTTCCTTCTGCTAGATGTTACATGTGACTTAGCTCTTGGATCTAAATACACACAGGTTAAATTAAACTTTTAAGAAGCAGAATAACAACAAAAAAATCCATTGGTTACTACTCCCAGTAGTATACCTCTTTGTGCAGTCCACACCAGGATAATATCCAAAGAACTTTAAATAATTTCATTTAGTGTTAGGTCATCTAAAGTACATCATTTAATATGAAAGGTGTTTGTTCTGTACTTAACATGGCCATAGTTTAGGGAGTTTTCCTTTTTCAATAAAACAAATTCAGTTAAAACACAATTTATGCTTTTATGTACAATAAGTAGAATCTTGTACCATTAAAAAAAAATTACTAGTAAGGTCCTTGTTTAACTTAAGCTCTAAGATAAATACTCATTATCCATAGCATAATCCATAGAAAACTCTTGCCATCAGTCCTATGAGGCCCTAATAATAAACATAGTTTTAGGCTCATATGTTAGTAAATGTATATACCTGTTTATGTAACAAACATAAGAGAAATAGTACTGGTGAAAAGGATGAGTGATAATAAGAGAATCAGCACTATTTCTTTGGAAACTGCTCAAAGAAGAGGATGCTGTAAACATGCATCTTAATTTTTGTTAAATTAGTAAGAATAGTTAGCATATATTACATACTAACTAGGTGCCACTGTGCTAAACTCCTTTCATATACTAATTTATTTAATCTTCACAACAACCTTAGAGGTGTAGATACTATATCATTATCCCCATTTCAACAGAGTAAGAAACAGACACAGATTCTATAAAACTTACCTAAGTCACACAACTACCTACCAAGTGGTAAAGCCTATAAAGCCCACCATACAACATTATCATTAGTTGTATTCATCTCTACTCCCCTTTTAGACTATGAGAAATGTGGGGACAGATGTCATATTATTTTGGATGGGGGGAGGGGGTATCTCCAGTGATACAATAATGTTCTTATGTGGCCTTGATGAACATTTGGTGAATTGAATGAAATCTCAAAAAGGTCTAGATGATTTTAAGTAGAAAACTTTTATTTTCCCTACTTTTTTTCTTCTCATAGATAATTTTGCTCATCGAACTAAAGTTCGGAAAGCCTTGGCTAAAGATAAGGAATGGCAAGAACAATTTCTCATTCCAAATTTGGCTCTCATTGATAAACAAGAGAATGAGATTGCTTATCTGGTACCATGGTGCAAATTAGAAAAGCCTCCCAAAGAAGGTAAGTCTTTCCCTCGTAGACACTTTGAATTTTGATAAAGAAAATATTAAAACTTTTCAACTATAAAAACTAAAGTTCCATAGGAAAAAAATAAAAGTCTTTTGTTTTAGATAGCAACATATTGTGATTGTAGAGATGAAAATAAGTTTGAACTTTTTGCTCATTAAAACAATGAATATTAAACAATGAAGTGTTTTTCTTTTTCAATTTGGAAAAGCTCAAAGTTTAAGTATGAATAAAAAGGTTGACATGGGAGTAACAGTTGAGAAGTTGAGGATTTGGAGCAAAGAAAACGATAATACATGAAATTTTGGCATGTTTTAGTATTTTTTTACAGAAATTACAGCTCATTTTCAAACTTTAAGTACATCTTTGCTTATAAAACCGATTGAAGGGAATGAATTAGCTTAAACTGTTAAGCTCTATTACAATACTTTAACATTTTTGTTTTCTTCCTTATATTTCTGTGTTTTAAAATAATTACTAAGGATTAGTCTCCTCTTGCTGATTTCATTTTCGTGCTGACTTAAGGTAATATTTACCTCAGTCTAGTTTTAGTCAGCTTTTTAAAAAGCATAAACTAATTTAAATTTTATTTTATTTCCCCCATAATCTAAATTTTATAGTGTCTTAGGTTACATGAGATTTGTTTTTTGTTTTTGTTTTATAATTTTTTATTTTTTATGCCCTGGTCTTCCTAGGTGGTCTCCCATCTAAGTACTAACCAAGCCAGACCCTGCTTAGCCTCTGAGATCAGATGGGATTGGGCTTGTTCAGGGTGGCATGGCTATGGACAGATTACATGAGATTTAAAAGGTCTTATTTGGATCCTTATTCACCTAGACCTCCCCCGAGCTTTCAGCAATATCTAAGTGCACCAAGTGGCTTCCAGAAATGCTTTTCAAGTGTTTACCTAGATTTTTAGGAACAATAAAACCATCTCTTTCAGTTTTTTAGAGGTTTTTTTCTCCTCTCAAAATCTCAGATATCGCTTTGGGTCCATTGCTTGCTATTGCTGTTAGAAATGGAATCCTATAAGGAGAAATTATACAAACATAAAATTATTTCCCCTCAAAATTGGAAAGAAGAAGGGAATATACATTAGAAATACTTTTCTTATTCAGTTCTTACTTAAATGTGTAGACTCAGGCAGCTCCCAATCCCATTATAAATTCTCAATGTTTGTTTTATTGATAAATATTACAGACTAAAAATATTTCAGATAATAGCTCAATATAGCTTTCTTTTTGTTTTGTATAATAAACTTAACAATTGACCCTTAAACATGGACAAGGACTTCGGAAACATAAAAGCAAGGAAAAATAATGCAAAGAATTCATCAATATGTTCACATAAACATGTAATATGTATATGGTCCTGCAAACTTGTATATGTACATTAACCTTCCACTGGAACCATAGTAACCTGATTAGAATTTCTTGAAATTATAATTTCTCCTCAGCCTCCCTCCTTGAATGTCCAGTGGACATCTCAAACCTAACATATTCAGTTATTTTATAAAATAATTATTTTTCTTCCTGCTCTAGGAGTCTATGAACTGGTTATTTTTCAGATGAAACCAGGTGGGCCAGCTCTGTGGGGTGATGCATTTCAAAGAGCAATTAATGCCCATGTCAATCTAGGCTACTCAAAACTGATTGGAGTCTTCCACACAGAATATGGAGCACTCAACAGAGGTACAGTTGTCCATTTCTTCTATGAAATTGCAAAATATATTGGGGAACTACTAAGTTCCTTAGGTTAATTTTCTCTCTTTTTTTCATTATGGCACATATTTTAATTTTTATTGCCAAATTTTTAGGAGTTTTTTTTTGTAATTTTAAAGGTTGAAAAACCTGTTTTACTTATTTAATAAGAATGTTAATATCTTTTGAAGTCTTTTTCAGATGCTGGATTGTTTTTCATGATACATTAAGATAAAATTAAAATCTGCAAAGAGCCTCAGAATATCTGTTCTTTTTACCTTTTTTCCCCTGTATACTTTTTATTGATTTAAAAAAGAAAATAACATTAATTGAGGTAGAGAGATTGTCTCTTCATGAAAAAGTATTACATATTTTTACAAATACTAAAAACATGGCCATGCCCAAAGAATGAAACAAACATTTCCCACTTCTTAATACTATTAACATTTTGGTCTTTGTATTCTTATGTTATTCATGTATATATTCATGTACATATATATATGAATGACATAGGAACAAGACGACCAAAACGTCATTTTATTTATATACATATACCGAAAATAATGAATATGCATGGTTAACAATGACTTTCTAATACTCTAGTGTGAGTATATTCATCAGACAGATAAGTATACATACCTTAATTTATTTAATAAACACTTACTTGGGGCATTTAACTCTCAATGTTAAAAGTTATTGCAGTCAGAATTTCAGAGAGTTTTTTTGTGGTGAACTCTAAAAAAAAGTGTGCAAAATTCATCTTGAAGGATAAATGACTAAGAATAGCTAATAAAATATTTGAAATACATATTTGTCTCCTCAGCCTCCCTCCTTGAATGTCCAGTGGACATCTCAAACCTAACATATTCAAAGCTGAGTTTTTGATCTTTACCCAGAAATTTAACTTCTACTAATATATATTAAGAAAATATTCAGAATATATAGAAAAAGATATTTACAAGTTGGAAAATATATGAAGGGAAAAATTACGAAAATTATTAGGTATCTCATACCATATGCTAAAATAGAATTCAAATGGTTATAGATTTTAATGTAGAAAAAAAGAATTGAATATGAATGTGTTTAATAATATGGATGAGAACTGTATTTCTAAGCCAAAAAGCAAACGAATCAATGAAGGAAAAAAAAAAACTAATGATTTTACTGTAAAAAGGCTCAGTCTTTCTGAATGCCCCAAAACACCGTAAATAAAATTCAAAAGCAAAATGAAAAATAAAAACTTTACAAAAGTAGGCGTAGAGATAACTACTATATATAAGAAGATGCAGATTAAATCAATGAGATGCTGTTTTTCACCTAATAAAGACCTATAGGTATAGTATGAGATAGGATAGGAAAAAATAAGTCCTCATACTGTGTCGAGTTCATATTGGCTTAATCTTTCTCCCAAAAAAGTTTGGCAATATAAATAAAAAGCCTTAATTTTGAAATTTTGTTGCCAGTATTCTAGGAAATATGCATAGGTGTGTAGGTGTACTCAGTTATACAGGAAGGAAATTTCAAAGGATGTAAAATATATAGTGGTCATTTGAGTAATGAGATTAATGTTTACAAAGTCTATTTTAATTTTCTATAATTAAAATTTTAATTATAGTTTTATAAAGATGCATAAAACTTTTATAAGAAAAAACTACTGAAAATATGTACATACTTTTATAAGAAAAGCTACTGAAAATATTCTCGGCAAAAGAGAATAGTAATATGCTGAGTACAAATCAGTATTTCATTTCTGGAGGACGGTGTATAATATGTATACTATACATACATAAGTATTATATATAAGATATACTCTTTGGTCCTCACAATTTGAAGTTTAGGAGTTTATTTTGAAGAAATGGTCAGATCCAGACTTCTTGGGTTTGAATCCCAGCTCCACCACTTATAACTGCGATGTTGAGTGAGTTGCTTAACCTCACTGTGCCTTACATTGCTCATTGATAAAATGATGATAATAACCTACCACCTAAGATTATTATGAAGACTAAATGAGTTAAATCATGCAAAATGCTTTGAAGCAGGCCTGCACATAGTAAGCTTCCAGTAAATGTAGCCATTGTTGACATTGTTACTATTATAGATACATGTGTAAATGCTGCTCTAAGGAAGTTTATGTCAGCATTGTTTACCATAAAGAAACATTGGAAACAAAATGATATGACAGGTGTGCACATAATATACATACATCTTATGTACATAATATATATACATCACATACAACATGCATCAGTAAGACTAATTTTATTTTGCTCATTTTTTTTTTTTAAGAAAATATACTAAATATTAATAGAGGTTTTCTCTGGGAAGTGAAGATTATGCTTTTTTTTCTCTTTGTATCATCCAAATTTTCAGTAGTGAACACAATTTTTCATAATCTTGCTTTTTTGTAAATAAAGTAAAATGTAGTAGAAAATAATGAAACGTGAGTCTAGTCTTGATTTTGTCTTTAGCCGTCTTACTTCCCCTCTCCAGCTTTGTTCCCTCATCTACAAAACCAGCTTGATTCTTTATAAATATCTCTCCCACATCTCTGACCCCTCTGAAATCTTAGCACTAACATAGTTTTACCTTTTGATACTCACTATTTTGATTTAAAGAATAAGACTTAACATTTCTGATTAATTTTTTTTGCATTTCTTATCTGTAGTAATACCATAGTCTTTGAATCTAGTTTTGGTTTACTTCCTCAGTGCATGTTCTTTGGTGGAACGAGAGTGCAGATAGTCGTGCAGCCGGGAGACATCAGTCTCATGAGGATCCCAGAGTCGTGGTAGCTGGTAAGCGATTTCACTAGAAGAATTACCCTTAGGAGAAATTTGATTCAGTCAGTAATTTTATATGCCTTCTTATATGTTTTTTTTTTTTTTTTTCCAGTTCGGGAAAGCGTCAACTACTTAGTGTCTCAGCAGAATACGCTTCTGATTCCTACATCATTTTCACCGTTGAAATAGTTTCCCACTAAAATATGAAGCATTTTATTAACTACCATAGATGTGTCTGCTAATGTTGCTTAAATTCTCCCAAGAGATTCTCACTTTTATTTGAAGAGGTGGTTAAGTTAATTTGCTATGTCTCTGCATTTTTAAGGCCACCTCTGCTCTTTGTCTTCATCACCTCAGGAAATATAGTTCTGTTCATTTCCCCAATGACATTTCAATAGCTATTATACATTAGAAATATTTGCCACTACTTCATGATCTTGCATTTTCATTTTTTTCAGAATGTCTCTTAGAATTTTCTGTTTTGACAATACTTTGCTTTATATTTAAATGATGTTTTTACATTTCTGTGCCTGACAGTATTTTAAAATTAATTACATGCAATGTCTGTATTTTCATGATGTCTGTTTTTTTCTGAGATTTAAAAACAAACTTGCCCAGTGAAGTTTATTTTGTGATATCAATTGGTATTCATAAGAATATTAGGTCAAACATATTTCTTTACCTTGGGGAAGTACAGTATCACCTGTGTCATTTATATTAATTATGGTCTTCACATTATTAGTGACTAATTTGGAAAATAATGTAATTAGGTGTCAATGTTAAAAAAAACTTCAGAAGACTTATTTTATATGTTGAAATGTGTTGATTTGTAGTTAATTTTTGTTCATTTTGGATCACTATTTAACAAAGATACTTGGGACATCTATTTGTCTTAAAGAGATTTTATGGTTCTGGAAATACTTGCCCTAATAAAAGCCTATGTATTTATACATTTTGGATTTTTTTTTATTTGTGTCTTATATAATCTTGTCTGAAGCTTTTACTATGTTGCTATAGGGTAGTAACACAGTAATAATTTACCAACTTTATTGTAAATGTTAAGTTAGATTAAGAAAACAGCATGATGTTAATTCCAGAAGGAGTTTCTTTAGTATCACTACAGACGTGCCATGGTTTTCCTTAAAACACTTGTAATTTCCATTTTAGTGTGCCTATGCCTTCTTAAACTAGGTTTGGTACTTCCAAGCTCTTGTAATAGTCTGTATTTACATCTATGTTATTTTACATTTCTAAAACGCATTGTAAATGTGAAAAAGTAAATTATGAATTAGCTAAGGGAAATTTGGACAATGTATAGTAAGGCTCCTGATAGAAGAAATGTCCGAAGGATTAAAAAACAAAAGAAAACAGAACAAAAGTAGGTAAGATGGTACTCAGGTTCAGCCTATACTATTAGCAGATAAGAATCCAAATAAAAGTTTATAATCCAGCTATTGTCATGTTTTCTGCTTCTCTTCAAAGCAAAACTCCCTTTTGAATTGTGTATACTCACCATTTTCCCTTCCTGACCTCTGAATCTTCTCTGAGCCCAATCCAGGAAGGCCTACATCCTTGTCAGTCTACTGAAATTGGCTCTTATGAGGGTTACTAAGGACTTTTGTCTTACGAAATTCAATGGTTGCTCGCTGCCTTTGCTCTGCTCATCTCAGCAGTGTTGGACACAATCAACCCCTTCTGCCTTCCTGAAACACTCGATTCTGAGTATCAGTCTATGGCATCGTACCCTTAGATTCTCTTCCTCCTCACTGGCCAGCCTCTCTGTCCTTTGCTGGCTTCTCTTCTAAATGTAGTGGGGTCTCTGGGCTCGAGGATATTCTTCTCTCATTAAGCTAATTTGGCCCCAAGGCTTAAGTACCATGTATGTGCTGATAATTCAGACATTTTTATCTTCTTTCCCATCAGTGCCTCTGAGCTCTAGTCTGAAATACCAACTGCCTTAATACAACCACCTACCTAGTTTGGGTCACAAACTTGAAGTCACCATGATAGCTCTCTCCCTCATCCCCTACATGCAGCCTACCAGCAGGTCCTGTTGGTTCTAGCTCTAAAATAGATCCTGAATGTTATACTTCTGTCTGCTGCTACCACCATCATCTCTTACTTAGCTTCCTTACTGTCCTCTCTTCCCATTCAGCAGCCATTCTTCTGAAACAAAGATTCAGTCAAACCCAGTACTTTGTTTAAAACTTCAGTGGCTCTTCATTGCACTAACAATAAAATCCAGGTACCTTAACGTGGCCTGCGAAGCTCTTCAAACTCTGGTTCCTGCATCTGAGTCCATCCCCTCCCACTCCAGAGACATTGGAATTCTCTCCCTTGCCAAGGTTTATCCCACTTGGGGCTTTTGTGCTAGGTGTTCTTTCTTCCGGGAATGTTCCTGCCAACCCACAAATGCTGGCGGCTCCTGCTCGTTTTATTCAGACCTGAGCTTAAACCTCACTCAGGACAGGCCATCTCTGACTCCTCTCCGTCATGTTCCCATTACCTTGTTTTCATTTTCTTGGCACCCAGTGCTATCTAAAGTCATTATATTTGTCCACACATCCATTGTGAATGTTAATATAATTTCTCCACTGAAATTTAAGTTCAATAGAGCAGGAATTCTGTCCTCTTCCACGCTGTATCCCCAGAACCTAAAGAAGTATCTGGCACACCAGAGTTCAATAAATATTTGGAAAATTATTGTGTAATGATGCCAAACCGATCAGGACAATTTTAACAGATACCCAATTTCACCAAAAATAACCCTTTGCCAGTTACTCGGCGTGTAACTTTGGACAAGTTCCTTATCCCCTGAGCCACAATTTACTCATATGTTAAATGGTACTACTTATCTCGTAGGCCAGGTATTAATTGATTAAATGAAGGGTGTCACAACACAGTAAACACTTGGAAAAAATAACATTTTCTCTTTTTCATAGTTAACATATGCATTCGCATTCCAAAGATTCCAAAGTTTTCTTTGAATCTGTTAATGTTTATATAGGCTTTTCTCTAGTTAGAAGAATGTTTTGGTCAAGACTCAAGGGTAACACGTTTTCATCTAAATAAATTCATTTTCCAATAATTTTTTTCTCCTTCAGTTGTAATTTTTCACAAAGAGTTTTCTATCAGTTTCATTGAAGTCACTGTAATGTGAACATCAAGGGGGAAAGACAAAGTTGTTATGTGGATGCTGAGTGGTCAGTTGGGTGCAAAGAAATTTCAGATCCAGGCTTAGGCAAAGGACTGCTCACTCCATGTCATCGTGGCCGTTCAGAAGAGGTCACAAGTAGATCCACGACGCCACTGTGCTGCCTAATAGGGGCTGTTTGACAGGCGTTCTTCAAGTACAGAAACAAGCATTGTTGGAGACTTCGATTGCTAGTAAGCTGTGAAAGGTACACCTCACCATTACACTACATAATCATCTCAGGTATAGACTGCACAGCATCTTTTACTGGAGAAAGGGAAAGCACCTCTAATGTTAGTCTCATATTTCTCCACCCACACTTTTCTACTTGCCCTGCATGCTCACTCTTGCCACCCACCACACCCAACACCTTGCCAGGACACCCGCCACACTGTGTCATTGTATTTTTGGTTAAATAAAAAGAACACCAAAGGCTGTCTTTTTCTTTGTAGCTTCCTCAACACTAAATGAAAAAAAATGGGGTTTTTAGTAAGTAGGCTTAGCTACACAGTATTTTCATAGCTCTCCACAGCTTCATAATTATTAAGCAGAGTAAGTTTATCTAAAAACCTTCTAAACTTACTTAGCATCAGTTACTTTCTTACCTGAATTATGAAAGTGCAAAACATCCTTTTTTAAAATTCCAAGTGGTCCCCTTGGTTCTCTTCTGTGATTAACAGGACATCTACCCTTTCCTAAAATGTCTACTTTTGAGCTAAATAGCTTTAACAGTAGGTGGTGCTACGAATGCACGAAAATAAATTTGTACAGACCAAAAGAACCGTCACAGCTTTATTTCGTGACTCATTACAACATAGAAATATGCCTTTAATACTTCATATAAAGTTAGAGACAATACAAAATTTTTTTTTTCCTTTTAATGAAAATGACTTTAACTTAGAAATCTATTGTGAAACTTCTAGTTTTGCAATTCTCAGATATTCCAGTGCAAAAATAGATCCCATTACAGACAACATAAAGTGCTTGGAATGGAGGGCCAATGATAAAGAAAAAGCACAAAAACATAGCTTCATCCTAGGGTATTAAGAATGGAGAATACTTAATCCTTGTGGAAATACAAACATTCTATAAAAGGGAGGCAACAATTTAAAAGAATTAGAGCAACATTATTATAGGACTATATTACTAGTAAATATTAACAAGGGTACAAATTAATATCTCAATATCAAAGTGGTTCAATATTATGTGACAAATGGCTCTTTGGAAAAAAATTTTCCTGATATATACAACCACGAGAAGAAAACACAGAAAATCCCTTTAGTCAACGATTACAGTGAGTGAATGATGTGCAACGTTTAATAGTCACAATGCATTGCTTTCAGTACAGATGTTGAAATACAGTAGTTTGAGGTTTGATTTTCTTTTTTAAACAATGAACTGTGCTGGGCATTTACGTATAGAGGGCTTTGTTACTGTTTTCTTTCGTATTTTTCATATTCACAGTTAATAAGGTTTCCAAGGTGTCCAAAAGAAGCAAAAGCAAAAATCTTTGAACACTTGAGAATTTTTTTTGAAACTCACATAGTTACATTTCCACAGGGAATATGTAGAAATATTTTATTTGATTGAGGATAGAGCTGGTAAAAATTTCTACTACAATTAGATTTACACAGGAAATTTAAAAGATTACTATTTGGATAGCCTAAAAGGTAACAATATTAGTGAAGTCCATGTGTAACTGTAGATTGTTTCTAGCTTCAGAAGATATTCTTTTAAATCTATATTGAAACACTGTATTTTTTTTTTTTTCAAAATAATTCACAGTGCCATTTGATTTTTTTAAAATATGGCCATGAAGTAGGAGTAATCCAAGCAAGGAGCATGGACTTAACAGAGACTTTGAACATGATTCTAGCGAAATGGGAAAACGAGTTTGATTTTGAAAAACATTAAATGAGGAAAAAGCCTATGAATTTTATATCATAAAGACAGCATAAAATAAAAAGATCTTGACCTCATAAATACCTATGATGTCTAGTTATTAGAAATATGCCTTCAATTACTTATCATTTTAGAAAATATTGGCATTAATTTCTCAATCATTTTCCTTTCCAATCAAGTTATATTTATATTCTGTATATTTAAAAAGAAAAATATAGATTAATTTGAAATCGATCTGAAATCTTACACCCTTAGAATCAATATTTAAATTTCAGAAGACAGTAACGACAGTGAAAGACCACTTGAACTTCACCAAATAGTTCCCTCATATGTTTGTTGTTTCAAGACAGATGACATTAAGCAATCCTAAAAGAATATTATTTAAAGAGTTTGCTGACTAAAAATATTAGACTGGGTTGGAAAAGTCTGAAATATACTTAATGTAGGGGCATTTGTTGTTTTTATTTTTTATTTTTCATGATAGGTTGGTGACTTAAGAGATGAAAATTTTGAGATTGTAAGAATGGGGTGTCTAAGATCTTCAAAGCCAATTATTAGGAGGTACTAAATGCTGTATTCACAAGTTGTCTTGTTCAACAAGTTTTAAAACTAGCTGTTTTCTCTGTAAAAGTATTCATTGTTTAGTCTCGTGACCCTTATGACATTTGAACTTTCTTAGCTTTTGCACTGTTGCTATTTTCAAAAAGTGGGCTGCCCAGTATTCTTTCATGGTGCTCCCACAACTACCACAAGACAACCTATATTTGTAAACCAGTTAGCTGAATAATGTGGCACAGGAAATCTGAGATTTAATTTCTCTCCACCCCATCCATGCATACATATTCATTCAGCTATAACAGACTCAAAAATACTTGATTAATGAACTGAGATTAAGAGTATTTTAAATGATCTTAAAGAAACTTAAATATAATGTTGTCATGAGATCTTGACTATCACATTGTTTTCTAGTCACTAGTTGGATTATCCATCTGCAAACTTACATGAGAAAATAAAGCTAGTGAGGCAATATGGCCATATGCCTCTATGCCACAGGCTTCTACGAAGAGGCCAATCAAAGATTTCAGAAGTCACTGGCAGAACTTAAAATTCCAAATAAAAATACAAATATTTTTGTCAAAATACAACTCCATCTTTTCATATTCTAGATTAACTTAAAAGGCTAGAAATAATACTATACTTGTGTCAGACAACAAGATCTTGAGATGCAGTGTACCGTGTTGGCAGACAATCAGGACAGGAAGACACAGGCCTCTGCAGGTGTGAACGCACCAGGCTCCTTAATCCTATGCCCTGGCCTTGGCAACTCGCAGCTGCCAACAACTTGGCTGCTGATTCTTTGCTTTTTTACCAGGATCTAACTATATTTAAAGAGTCCCAGAAATATGACCCTGGAGGCCCCTGTCTCCAAGCAAGAGGCCATGTAACAATGAAACCAAGTCTCACTTGTCTAGAGCTGCCCACACTTTGCATGTTACCACCACCAGTGCAGCTCAGCAACGAGGGTCTCAAAGCAGGACTTTCTCCCACACATGGCACCATTTTGACACCTGATATTTGATTATGTTCCAATAGACTCTGAGCAGAGCAGCTTTCGCAAAAGTGTGCATGACACATCATGGTGCGTCAGGCTTTTTGAGCAACTTGGCACTAGTAATTCTGGCACCCTCATTGCCATCAATGGATGTGTCACTGGGAAACCAGTCTCCTAGCATGGCACAGCTTAGTGAGTGAGGATGTGCAGGCACGCCTTTTGATTTTGGTAAATAATCACTGGCCATGATTACTTGATGAATTACTGTTGCAACCCCAGTGAGAACATAAAGGAACAAACAAGTATGATTTCAAACCCATATGTCCACTGGGTTCCATACTAGTTTCACACAGGTATATGGTAATAAAATAAATTCAAGTCTTTTTTCACTGGAGAGCCACACAAGACATCAGCTACAAAGGCACTGCCCCTGTAATGGAATTTTGTTTTCATTGCATTGAATTGCATTGCATTGAACAGTATCGGTACAGTATCCAGTTTACTTCTTCCCACAAAACCTTCCAGCTCTTTCTTCTGGAACTCTTCCCTTGGCGCAAAGGAAGAGCAAGTTCTTCTCGTCTTTCAGCCACCCTGTATGAACAGGACTCTTCACACGTAACTTTCTTTCATTTTCTCATCCTGCAGAAAAGATGTAAGGACTGCAACATCCACTACTGTCTGGTTTTTGTGTAATGACAGGTCCTTTAAGTGGTCATCATCACTTTGGTCCTTGGCAAAGTTTACAAATACCTGTCAAGAGAAGGATGGACCCTTATAAATACCTCTCGACTTCCTTTCTTTATTCTAGTTGCATTTTTCCCTATATGGACAGGTAGGAGAATACAAGACTGCATAAACAGATTAACTAGAATACTGTGTGAGAGAGAGGGGAATACATGAAAATGCATTAACCATTTAAAAATTTTATAAACTTTTATATTGACCGCCAAATCACCAACTGCTCAATCATCTATTTACTGTGGCTTATATAGGCTTGATAAAAGGGAACAGGGATGAAAACTAACATTTACTAAACACCTACTAAGTGCCAAGCGAGATCTGTTTGATGTTATCTAATTTAAATGGAATAAAGCACCTGGTAAAATGTCTGGCCAATGCCACTTTCTCGATAAATGGTGGTAGTTATGATTATTATTACAATCTATTCTCACAATGACACTACAAAGTAGACAACATCATCTCCCTTTTCAGATTCAGAGAGGTTTAGAAAAAAAGCACAGCTAGTAGGAGAAGATTGGGAATTCAAGCTGAGATCATCTACACTGCTCTTAGGGCGCATAATGGGGTGGAGAAGGGACCAGGACTCCTCACCCTAAAAAATAAATCTATTTTTGATATTCAAAGCTTACTTGGTCAAGTGTTGTCTGAGACACAGAGTAGTCTTCTATGTGGAGTCGCTTTTTGCTCTGAGAGAGGATGCTGAATATCTTGGCCAGGGAAGATAATGAAGATGGAAGCTGGTATTGTAGCATGTTCCGGTGCTTCTCTTTCAGGACGCTTCCTGGAAAGGCGAGTCCAAAGAACTCCTGGACAGGCTTCAGATCAGGGTTGGCCCCTGCTATTCGTACAACTATTGTATAACCATCTCCAAATCTGAAAGCAGAATTAAAAAATCCAAATGGAAGATCTTCAGGAAACTTCTCAAAAGAATAATTAACCCTAAGAACCCAACTTGTGCCATGAAAAAGAGGTCTCTCACAGACCCAGAAATAAGTATCTGAGAAAAGGAACGAGTTGTCATTTACTGACTACCTAGTCTATGGGAAGAGTCATGCTGAGTGCCTTAGACACAGGATTTCATTTAATCCTCAACGGGATTATGAAGCCTGACAGATGTTAAGGGAAAGTGAAGCCTGGGGACTTAGCCACTTGCCCACGGTACAAAGCTCATAAGTGGTAGGGTCAGGATGTGGACCCATTTGTGTTTGACTCCAAAGCCTAAAAGCTCTAACCATACTAGCATGTGTAAATTCTTCCATTTCATTGATATAACAAAGCTTGAAGGTACATATTCCTAGGAAACTGACTCAGAGAGGTTAAGTAATTCACCCATGGGTGCACAACCAACAAAAGGTAAAGACAGAATTTGGATGCAGCTCTGTTTGACTTTAAAGCCCTTATTCTTTCTACTATGCCATTTTGTTTTGTTTATTCTCCTTTATTCTCACCCCCACCCCACCCCCCCCACACACACAAATAAATAAATACAAGCTTTCTCAGGCACTATCCCAAAGAAATCATCTTCATTACCTATTTTTCAGATGTTGGACGCTACCAAGGCACCTGAACTTGCCATTGACCATAATTGCCATCCTAGTGCAAAGAGCTTCACATTCTTCCATACTGTGGGAAAGCAGAATGAGGTTTTAGCTTTAGAGAGATGCTCCTATAACCATCAGAACATCACCATGACATCTGGCATTTCAAAGAAACGTTCCCAGCTCCCTAGGGAGCATCCTGTTACAAATACATGAAGATGCAGAGATAACATTTTCACTGTAGTGTGGTTTATAACTGTGTGAAAAGTTGAAAACAATCCAAGTGTCTACAAAAGGAAGCAGTTAAATAAATTATATGGAATACTATCTGGCTATAAGAAATGATAACTGACTTGGAATAATGTTCACGATATACTGTTAGGTGAAAAAGAGCAGTATATGTACTAAGCTTGCACTTTTTATTTATGTCTCTCTCTCTCTCCCTCTCTCTCTCATATAAATTTGCATAAGACTCATACAAAGATATTGCCCAGTGATAGTTAACTCTGGGTGATGCAATTCAGGCAATTATAATTTTTTCTTGTCCTTTCTGTATTTTCTAATTTTTACACAACAGTCATATATACCAGTTGGAAATTTTAAAATGACACACAGAAGCCAAAACGAGCCTTCACTACAGACCTATGAGATGTAAGCACAACTGATCTCCCTTCCTTGATGATACTGAGAGCACAATTCCACAAGAATCGTCGAGCTTTGGGGTCCATGCCTGTGGTCGGTTCATCCTGTAATTAGAATAAAATAAGTCCTGTCAATTTGCAGATACACACATCAAAAATATATTTGTGTTTTAGATGAAGAAGCATCTTTGAAATAGCCTAAATTTTAACTTATCATTCTAGTTATTTATTGATGGACCAAAGAACCAGACCTTACACTCAAGAACCAGTTTACTTTTATAAATATCCCACTGAGGTAGGAAACTCAATTTAATTTTTTTATGAAGTTAAATTGAAATAAGCAAAGGGAAGGGGAAAAGTCATTTAATTTCAATCATCTTTTCATCCGACAAGTATATACACAAAATTCTTTTTGTCTGAAATCTCTGAAATTAGTGTAAGGTTTGGGTAAAATTTCTTTTTGTCTGAAGTTAGTATAAGGTTTGGGTAAAATTCCTTCTCTTTTCTTCTTTAGCTCACTTCAGCTTCGCCTGGTTTATTATACTTGCTAATCTCAGAGAAACAAATTCCAGATCCAAATGGCCTGGATGACATTAAAGCCTCAACCCAAGGCTTCTTCTTGTAGTATTTTTTAATGCTCTTCTCCACAGAACAAAAAGGGTCCCAGGGCACTGTCCTGCCCAATCCTTTGTTTCCCATCTATCTGTATGTAAGCAACTATGACCCAGGTGCTACGCTGGGGATCCTGAAGCTGTGTCCACACTCTCTATCTTCAGGGGATGAACACATAGATGGTCAGAAAGAAGGTTCCAGAGGAAGGTCAAATCACACACCTAGCCTCAGCCATACTTGTCAGGGTTCTCCATGCCAGAGTCACCTCAGTGTGTGTCAAGGAGGAACAAGAGTGCTTCCCTCTGGTTCTCTAAAGCTGCTCTGCTGTCCCTGGTCGGGGGAGGGGAGCTTGCCATTGGCAAGCCAGTCATGCAACATCCCTGGACAGACAGGACTTTAGAAAAGCGATGTTTCCCATTCAGGCCAGAATAGTTTTCCATTTATAGTCACACTCACCAGAAACACCACAGGAGGCCCGCCGATCAAGGCCATGGCTGTCGAAAGCTTGCGCCTGTTGCCTCCACTATAGTTACCAGCATATTTTTCTCCATACTTCACGAGGCCCAGCTTCCGAATTGCCCACTCACCAACCTAACGAAATAAAAACTCCCTTGACTTCCATCTGGCTTGGTAATATTATCATGGCTTTCTCACACAAATTCTTTCACTGGGTAAAGCCAGATTCTATAATCATGATCTGGCAAGTGCCGAGGAGCCAAAAGTGGGGGCAATGGCACTTCTTCTCTACCTCCCAGCATGTGCTCAACCGCCACTCCCCACCCCACCGCCACCATGGATCCCCACCCTAGAAGTAGGTGCAAAGAGCTAGCTTTCCTACTGCTGCATCCATGAAGAAAAAAGCCTGAGGCTGATGGTCATGTGTGAATCAAAGCCATAGTTATACAGTCAGAATGCCAAAGGAGGCAGGCTGGCTGCCTGACGCCCACTGTACCTTGCCAACTTCTTTCTCTGGGACTCCTCTCAAAAGGGCGAAGAACTCCACGTGTTCTCTCCCGGTTAGCAGCTCTGTGATGGCATCAAACTGAGGGCAGTAGCCCATGTTCTGATGTACTTCATGGATGTTTGATAAGATACTGCAAAGAAAAACAAAACCAGTCGGGTTTTAGGCATTTAGAGATACTCTGATCAGATAATCTTACCTAATGGTCCTGGTAAAGTACGTTTGTAAGTGACAAAAAATATCTGTGAGCACACTTGCTATAGCTCGAAGGAAAAGCCTTTCTGTCCCCAGGATGCCAGCCCCTCCAGGAAGTCAGGGTTTCTGTCTCTATCCTGCCCAGTCCTTGCTCTCCTGACATCTCAGCATGTAGACTCAGTCCCATTTTAGGATTCCCGAGTCCATCCTAACTGCAGCACCATCTTTACCAATAATCTCGGTCACATGATCCTGGGGCTGTAATACTAACTTCCATCCCAGACCTGACTCTGTGGTCCAGTCATATGTCCCAAGGTGCCTGGTTGCTCCAACATCCCCTTCATGGCCCTTTGGATCCAGAACAGGCCTAGCAACTCTGGGTGTGACCTCCCTCTGCTCTCTGCTGCCCATGCAGTGACTCAGCCACAGCATGTTCCAAACCCCTGGGGCCTGCTAAATATCCAACCAAGGCACCCTCCCGGTTTTTAAATTTGTTTGCTTTTTTTTTTAAATCACAGACCTCCTGAGAATCTGGTGACAGAAAAATATACCTATAGACAACTTTATACATCGTGGTGGGATAGCTTTTAGGAACTGAAGCCAGTCTCAAGTTGAGAATCTTTGATGTGAAAGACGCTCGGTGTCCACATCCAGTCTGATGGCTGCACTTTAGCTACCTCTGGACAGCCTTGAGTTTAGCCTTTCAGCAGTATTCATTCCTCCCTGCCTATCTAACTAATACTCCCAGATCCAGAATCATAGCTGAGGTGCCCATGGACACTGCCTGGATCTCACAGCTACGCTGCCCAAGCCAGCTATTAGAACCAGTCCCTGTGACAAACCTAGGTTTGGGCCACTTATTGCCTTTACTGTTATATGCCCCAAGAGCCTCGTGCTAGGAACAAGCCCAGGGCAGCAGGTATGCAGCCGCAGGCCTGCTATTCTAGAATTTCTGTTCTCCTAAACCTCCTTTACACCTCTACTGAAAAAATTGGGACGAGACAGGAGGAGAACCGCAAGTACATTACATTCCTTGCTCCTTTAGATTTTATTAGCCAATAGCCCACCATTCATTGTTTTCACATTGTGCGTCATCACCTATCAGTGGCTTGTGAAATAAATTTATTTGGTCACAACCAATATTTTTTTTTAATGATATGGTATAGAGCAGAATAAGATATATCAGAGGTTGGAAGAGTTGGTATTGTTTTATGAAACTTTAAGTTATATACACGTTTATGTCTTTGTATTTACTGGGTTTAGATATAAAATGTATTTGCCACTATGGGTCATGGTCAGAAAAGTTCAAAAGCCACTGCCTTGTACCATGTCCAAATAAGAAGCCTAGAAAAGCCTCACATATTTCAAGTACTCAAGGATAACAGTTGCCTAACAGGTCTCTAACATGGAGCTGTACCCCTATGATCAAATTGCTTAGTGACCTGTGCATTCTCAAATAATAGCCTGCTGGTGGTTTCACCAATTGGTACAGCCTCTAGAGAGGGCAATTTTGCAAGTGTATACCCTTTTACTTTGTAGGAATTTTCCCCGAGGAAATAATCAAACATGAATACAAGGATATATTTACATAGTGAAAAACAGAAACTAATAAATGTCCAACAATAAGAAATTGATTAAGTAAACTATAAGTATAATTACACAGGAGAATTTTATGCAGCAATGTAAAAGTCTACATCTTTGAATATGTAACCCACTGGGAAATCGTCATAACATACTCATTAACAATATAAACTAATTTTAAAAATCTAGATACAGTATGATTCAATTTTATAATACATTTACATGTGTATATAAAATAGTATTCTAAAACTGGATTGTGATGGTTGCACAACTCTATAAATTTACTAAAAATCATGCAATTGTACTGTATGTAAATTATACCTGAATAAAGCTGTTAAAAAAAAAAAAACAAAAACAGAATGAGACTGAAAGGAAATGCAAACAGAGGCTGTCTCTAGGTAGTGGAGCTATGAATGATTCTGATTTTCTTCTTTATACTTTACTATATATAAACACTTTTATAAACTCTATATAGTATTTTTATGATCATAAAAATACCAATATATTTAAATAAAGTAAAAGAAAGTCTTTGTGGCAAAATATAGACCACTTTTCTCACCTATTTTTGTTAAGAAAAGCATCTCCTCTGGTAACAGTGGTATCTCCAGTTAACATCTTGAAAGTTGATGATTTCCCAGCCCCATTAACTCCAAGGAGTCCAAAGCACTAAAAAAGATTGGATAAACTGTATAAGCAAATTACGAAAAATCTGATTATAAATGACCATTACAAAATAGTCACCTCAACTTAGTTTTTATCTAGCATAATCCTAAAACATCATTCACAAATATCAGTGAAGAGTCAAACATTTTCTTGGTCTTAAGGAATCATATGGACATTTAAAAAGATATTTTATAATTGGACTATTTTAAGTGTGGGCATATTTTGTAATAATATTTGAGTTGTCAAGTTGAGGCCTAAATTAATGAGTGAAAAACAGTAATGAAAGCCAACTAGTCAAATTTCACCATCTAATCCGGCTAAAAGGCATAAAAGAACATAACCATGAATGAGAAAGAAGAAAATCAATTTTTCTTAAATCTATTTGAATTTCATCATCATCTTGAACAGATGAGAAAATCACACTGGATGTGCATGTTTTTCTTAAACTGCCTGAGATTATCCAAAATCATTTTCCTCTGACATATGAAGTCCCCATCCTCTCAACAACCGATTGCTCCACTTATACATAAAGATAGAAGCATTTAAAGGCCACTTTTACCCCTTACAGACATTGTTATCTGATTGCATAGAGATAGTATGAATCGACAGGGACAAATACAATGTAGACAAAGTGCCTTTACCTCTCCAGGAGGAATGCCAACACAAATCCTGTCAACAGCAGGCTTCCTCTTCCTTCTATATACCTGCAACAAACAAAACGCAAAAATTCATGAGCCACATTGACGCACAGCTATTGCAGGCAGTTGTGGAAAGGGGACTACAGCCCAAAAACACCAAGAAATACAACTCATCGATAAGATTAAGTCACATATTGGTTGTGCAGAGAGCCTTGATCTGTCTCTGTAGCAACTGACCTCCAAATGATTTGCAGCTCAAAATTCTAGTCAATTTCTTTTTATTTTTAATCTAGTATCAACCTTTTAAAGAACATATTAGTCAATAATGTCCATATAATTTTTCATTTACTTACTATAGAAGGGTATTATAGATTATTTTAAAAATTAAATTCTACAGGGTAAAAACATGTAATTGAAACACTGTAAATATTGTACATATTACAAAAAAGTGAACTGTTGGTATTCTAGCACCTAGAGAAGGGTGGAACAGACCTTCCTCCTGGACTAGGAAACTCAATCAACCATTTAGTCTCCCTACTTTAGCTCTGACTAGGCGTACAATTATTAGTATGTTTTAATAATAAATGCATAAATGTAAGTGTGAAAAACAAATGTATTCGCGAATGAGAAATCACATTACGAAAGTATTCTCAGTAGGATTTCTTTAATTACGAAATCCCCACAATGTATTTTAAATAAAATTAAATTGACAGAAGCTTGGTATAGACAAATGTTTTGGGAAGAATGCTCTTTTTATTAAGCAAGTCAGCAAAATGTTAGTTTCCAACATATAAAGCTGAAAAAAACTGAAGACAAGTTGTTATTGCCTGGCTTCATTGTCTCACCTTTGTCAACTCCTTGATTTCCAAGATGTCATTCTGTCCTCCGCCATCAAGTATTCTTTGTCTTTCCCGCCTGACATCTTCATCTTCATCATTCAGGGGAGGAAGCTTTGCACTTACAGGTCTTAGGGGAAAAAATTTAAGAAAAATCAACCTTCCTTCCAAATTATTTTTCAAGACAAACATCCAGTTTTTCTATAGCAGTCCCAGGACTGGCAGTGCGGGGGAGTGGGGAGGCCCACATTAGGAAGGAGTTTGATTATCTGCTTTGAGTTCAGTTCAATCCAAACACCACTGTCAAGTGTTTCCATCTGTCACACTCAACAAGATGCTCCATGAGTTCTGAGAAAAAGCTCACCTGGGCCTGATGAAGAATCTGTACTGGATCAGGACAGTGATGAGGAAGAACACCACACCCTCTACGGCCATGGCAAAGAGATTTCGTCCCACCAAGTCCCAAGAGAGTGGTGAGATGAAGCGATTCTCCCCTGAGAGACACAATGCAGAGATCCAGTCAGAACGGAGGCACCAAAGACCATGGCCCTTCCTCAAAGTCAGGCTCAAATTCACCTCTCTCCCTGGAAATACCCATGGTTTTCGTCCATGACAAGGAAAAAAATTTAAGGAAGTAACCGCTTTCCAAGTCTGATTTCAGGTAAGGTTTTGGGGAAACATACTACAACCCAGTATCAATTAGAATTTCAGAGCCAATGCGTAGAAGGTCTGTGATGTCATCGAAGAGATATGATGTTTCCTTTTTAATAAAATGTTGAAAATCCTTTGTTAAAAGGCAAACAACCCAGGGTAATTTTTAGGGTCAGTATTTTAACATATTATAAGTTTCGCTATGATTAGAGAGCACTTAAAAAAGATGCCCCCGTCAACAGCATGTCTTGTAACCTAGTGGCCCAATTAAATCACCTAGTTTTATGTAAATATTCCTTAAATTCCTTATACATCTCCTTTGTACCTTCGAGTTAAAAAAAAAGTCCCTGTCTATGTCTCTTACATAACATGGCCATCTAACTTATATGAGCCAGTGAATAAAGAAGAGTAATGTGGCCACCGGGGAAATACTTTTAGACTATAAAGGTAGAAATAATGGCAGTAACTTAATTTTTATATACAGCCATGTCCACAGACCCATGATTTCCCTAATGAAGCCAAAGTGTGCTGTATCTAATTCTCAAGGCTGTGGTTTGACATTTCCAATGACTCTGACAAACCCAACCAGTGGTATTAGGCACTGACTTTAAAATAATGCCGGCATTTTCCTTATCTCCAAAACTGTCCTCTCACTTTTCTTAGTGCTGTCCCAAGACTCATACCATAACCAGCTGTGTTGTCATCAGCCCTAGTAGTGGGGAGAAGTCCTGTGCCCAGTCACCAGCCTCTTTCCAAAACAAAGGCCCGGCTACCAAGGCCCATGCAAAATGCCATTTTTTTAAAAAACATCCTCTGACCACTGCTGTCACTCACCAAACCTTTCCAAGGCATCAGCCATTGCCTGGTTTTTCACCATGTCAATAAGCCCCCGACCCAGGCAAAAATGTGGGAAGATCAAGAACACAGACTTCAGGATATCATTGATGTTATTCAGCTTCTAAAAAAGTAAGACAGAGGGAGACTGAATGTCATTTGTGGTTTAAGCTAAAAATTTATCAAACTCTAACGTATGGAAGCAAAAAAAATATTTTATTCCCCGAGGCCAAACTGAACCTTTGAATTCAGATACTAATAAACAGCAACAGCCACAGCTGATGATATGTATAACATAATAAAATTTCGGCTTTTTAGAAAATTTGGAATATGCTATGAATATGGAGAAATATGAGCAAAGTTTAGAAGCATGGTTATGTTTAACCAGAAGCAAATCCATCATGAAATATTTGCTTAGCATATTAAAAGCAAATTGCTTGTGTCTGGGTCAATATTTCAGCTTCAGGATTTTGTGGAAATTTAAATCAAGCCAGCAGTGGCCAAATATCCAACAATTGAGTAAGCTGCTATATGCTGAATGCATTGTGACAGGGCACAGGGTCAGACAAAGGTTAATAAGAAACAGCCTCTACTCTGAGAAAGAAAGACGTGGAAACAGGAAATCACTACATAATTGGATGTGTGTTGTACTGGAGGCATGAACTGAGGGCTCTGGGGGCACAGGGAAAAGAGAGAGCACCTCTCATAGAGCAGGTAAAGAAAGCTTCACATTGAGCTCAATCTTGAAATTAAATGTGATAAACGAAGGGCATTTTAAGCCAGGCCTATAGTAGTAGGGTGGGTTTAAGGGATGAGTCGGCTGAATCTTACAGTACCTTGAGAAAAGGGGTAGTGGGAACTGGCCAGGAAGGGCTGTACACCCATGAAAGGCCTTACGTGCTAAGTTAAAGTGTTTGGACAAAGGCGATGACAACAGGAAAGGACAGGGACCCTTTTTTAAGAGATCTATAGTTGGAAGAACTGACAAGGTAACCAGTTGAACATGGGAAATAAACAAAAGCAAAGCACATAAGTTGTCAGGTGGGAGACTGGGTGGATGGTAATGCCATGCGGTGTGATAGAAAAGGCAAGAGAAACATTAGGTTCTGAGGGAGAAAGATGATTAGGACATGTCGAGTCCGGGGCATCTGTAAATTATCTAAACAGAGCTGTCCACTAGGTAAGTGAGAATGTGAGACTAGAGTTCAAGGGGACAATCAGGGATAATAGTATAGAATTGAGAGAGAACATCATAAGACACGGAGAGAAGTGGTAAAAGCATCCGGGATAAAAGGTATCACCCCGAGGTAGCACCTAAAGGGGCAAGCAAAGATGGCAGAGGACCAAATGTTTGGAAAAGCAACATTTAAACACTAAAAAACTTGTCACAGGAAACTGAAAGGTTTGATCACAGAACTACTAGGAAAAGGACAGGAGGGAGGTGCTATGCAAATCCAGGGAAGAGAGAATCTGAAAAAGGTCAGAGTGGCCATCGGAGTAAGATTATGATTAAACACTGTCCTCTGGCTCCTGGAGATGCTCATCCCAGCAGGAGGCGCTCTTGAGCAGAACTCAAACTCACATTGTTGGTGAAGAGCTCCAGCACAAAAGTGGCCACACTGCCATTAATCCCAATGAAGAGGTTCACACTGGTGAGGACCACGTAGGCTGTGCTGGGGATCTTGAACACAAAGGAGGCTGGATACATGAGAGGTGTGATTGACCACCTGGTGAGGCACAAAGACAAATGTCCATTGAATGTCCCCTGCCATCCTTCTGACATCAAGCACATATGCCTTACCCATTGATATCCCCAAGCCAGAGGTGCCTTACCCATACAGCAGAAGTAGAAGGGCTAGCACAGGCAGGTTGGTGGAGGACACGTAGGACTTCTGCTGGAAGCAGATGAAGATGATAACGACCAGTGTGGCAGGGACCACATAGTTGCACTAAAAATGAAACAAGAAAATAAAGTTCATCCCTTTGTCAAAGATATAACAAATCCCAAGTCTTCACTATTATTGGACAAGAAAGGGCAGATAAAACATATTGGAGAATAACTTTGAATTAATGAAGCCACATAAACTATTAATCAAAATACTGGACAATACATTTTGACAAGCATTTTATCCTTGAATGATTCTATAAACTGCATGCCCTTTCTGTCTTTCCAACAGCAAAGCCAAGGTGTCATGCTCAGTAAACTAACTGAACGATGGATTCTCAGTCAGAATAATTTCAATTTCACAGGCAGCAAATAAGCTTCCATTATTCTTCCCAAAGATAACTGTCTGTTTCATCGTTAATGCTATATTATAGTCTGCCCAAGTTCAATCTCACATGTAATTTATTTATGATGTAAGTGCTTATAATATGAATGTCAGAATTGTTTCATCACACTCAGAATAATTTTAAGTCTGTCCTGACAGTGTATCAAAACTTAAAATGCACAAATAAAGACTTGACCAAAAGATAATTATGAGAATTCATAGCTGGCAGAACTAAGCACAGGCAGGGATGTGACAGTGGGTTTGTCAGCTGTTAGAAGAATTCACAGCTTCAGACCACAGGATTCTGCTTCAGTCTCATCCTACTCATTGTGTTTATCAACAACTTAGATGAAAACATGATGATAGCAAATTTCAGAAGCATGGGAGGGACAGATAATACAGAGGAAGATAAGTGATATTCCTGAGTTAGGGACTTGGTCTTTCATCTCTGAATCTCCTATGCCTGACAGAGTCAGACACACACTGAGCACTTAGTATGTGTTTACTGAATAAAGTAATTAATACATCAAGATAAAAACAAATGGACACTAAACGAAATGTAGTTTAACAGAGATAAATATAAAGTTTAGGTTCGAAAAAGTCAATTGCATTAGTATAGAATGAAAGAGACCCCATTTAACATTATCTGTCCAACAGAGATTTCAGTTCACTACCAAGCTGCCAAGGAGACAGTGTTACTTCCAAAATGCAATGCCCATGGGCTAAGTAACAGAGGTATGGGATAGAGATCAAGTTCCTCTTAGGCTCATAACCATTCAGATCACAGCCTAAGCACAAGGTTAATTCTGGGTTTTGCTTTTCAAAGGGGACATTAACAATATGGAGCATGGTCATAGAAAGGCAATCAGATCAGAACAGTGACAAGTATGAGAGGCTTGCTCTAATCAGCACAGATATCATCATCACTCACACGTGTACTGTGCTTTAGGTATTACAAAGGATGTTCTTGTCTATCACCCTATCCGGGGAAGACAGGTAAAATAAATATCTTCAAATATCTGTGGGGCTGTCTAGAAGGAGAAGAATTAAATTTGATCTGTGTGTCTTACAATTAATGGAATTCACAGGGAGATATATTTCAACTCCACTTTACAAAAATTAGAATTGCAGAATTCTTCGAAATCCTATATATTGGTCTAAACAGAAGCAATAAATTAGAGCTGGCATGAAAACATATTTGCAATAGATGGGTAAGTTTCTGGTAAGGTGTGTAGAGTTTTCAAATGACAAATGTACTCCTAGTAAGACCCTGACTCTGGAGGTTAAATCTATCATACAAGCTAGGGGCATTGGAGTTTTGACTAAGAATCTTCCACCTCAATGTTCCTTTGAAAAGTTTTCATTTAGGAAATTAGGTGGTGGTGCGGTAGTGGTATTAACTGCAGTCAGTGTGGACAGATTTTCTCTCAGGTGTGAGATCAGCTCTGTACTTAACACCATGTTTGGTGACAAGGAAGTGTACAACTGCCTCTGCCTTTTCCTTTTTCATTTATCTTTAGACTAGGTAGAACACTTCCTGGTGACAAGGACTCTTTCGTCCAATGCATATCTCTGATGGAGATGCATACAGCAGCAGCAGACTGGTATGCTCACCATATCCCAGACAAAATTGGAGAGCCAGTAGATGACGGGCTTCACTCCGCTGATGAACTGCAGGTGCTTTGCTTTGCTGACTCGCTCCTGGATCAGGAACACAACGAAGCTAGCTGGGACGAAGGACATCGCAAAGATGACACAGATGGACACGAGGACATCCACTGATGTGGTCATCCTGAAAAAAGAGGCAGTGAGGATATGAGGGACCACTGATGCAACTGAAGACTCATTCAGGAGAACACACACACACACACACACACACACACACACATCTGAAGCACAGCCTAGGAAAAAATAACTTGTTCAACAAATATATTTTTTTCAGGGTTAAAGATAATTATTTTCAAGTCAAAAATAAAAAATAAAAATAAAAACAAAAAACCACCCCAAACCTGATACTTCAAATGCAAAACTGATTCCACTGAGATTACAGAGTTCACTGCCATAATGAAACTATTAATGGAAATCTGAGAGTGGCCAAATGGCATTCACTTTGTTCTACTGTTCTTGACCTTGTAAGAGCAATAAGTTGTAAATTTTCACACACAAAGGACGAATGTGGCTTGAAAACTAAATTAAGCAGAAATATTAATGTGAAACCATTCAAATAAGTTAATTTTGGCTATAAATAAGTTTGAAAACAATAGCATTTGGCATATCAATCTAACACATACAAAAAATTTTATCAGATTCTTATAAAAGGAATGAATGGTCTTATAAGCCCATGAAACAGGCTACAATATAAACTATATATATATAAATTTTATGAAAGCTTGGTATAAAGATCCCAGTGACATATACTACTGATATTTTATAAGAGTTAAGCAGAAATGATAACTGTGCTATGCCCCCGTATACATAAAAGGGACCCAATACGTGTTGAATACTAACTATGTACCCAATGCTGGACTTGGCAATTTACATGAATTGGCTCATTTAACACCATCTAGAAAGTTTAGAAACCAGGTTCAATCCCAGATCTCTGATGTCAAAGGCTAGTATAAATTCATCAATAGGTAAAGTTTACCTATTCATACTGGCTTTATCTTCACACACACACACACACACACGACTCAGGAATTAAAAACACAGGCTTACAAAAGCATGTTTCACCAAGGTTAAAAACAGTGTCAAAACAAATGAAGCTGATTTTTACTAAACACTGTGTTGATGGTGAGTTAAAATACTTTTAAGATTTCAATAATAATTTAACTTACTTTATATGAATTCACTAATTATGATGGTTTTTACATGTAAGAGTTATTTATCTTTTGCATTTTAATCTCTGCCAGCCAATTCATAAACTGATCATTTTCTGTCCAGAGCCTGGACCAACCCAGACAGACCATAATGAAGCTGTTACTCTTCAACCAGATTCACAGTTCCCTCCCCTGTTCCACAGTTACCCCAACACCCTCTCCTCTCCCCACCTGATACGTTCACCCATAGCTACACTTACAGAGCCACTTCTGAGAGCTGCTGCTTGGTGAGATTCAGGGGGTGATTGAAAGCGGTAATCCCATACTGGCTAGGGTTCGCTCCCTTCTGCAGGTTGGCCCGGAGAATGGCATTGTTGATGACATTCAGGAAAGAACTGATGGCATGCCACCCCTTGTTATTGAACCACACCTGAAATAAAACATACCAGGTACAATATAATGCTCCCAAACCCAGCTCCTGCAGGTACAACATAATGCTCCCAAACCCAGCTCCTGTAGGTTAGGTGCACTCACACATAAAATGTACGTAAACTTCAGAAATTCCAGTCACATGCCAAGATAAAACATTATGGCCGGAGAATATAGCAAAGAAATAACAGCAGTCAGGCTATACTGTGCATGGACCATATTGCCAGTGCATGGTGCTGACTACCTTATATCTTTAACTCTTTTAATCCTCACCACAGCTTTGAGATAGCCATGACTACTTTCTCCATTTTAGAGATTAGGAAACTGAGGGTTATATGGGTTAAGTAAGTTGGTCAAGGTCACAATAGTTCACCTGGTGTGTCTGGTAGCAAAGCAAATTCTCTTAATCGTCGTATTGCATAGCCTCACTGGTAAAATTACTAGACTGAGCTTTTCTGTCAATGAATACCCCTATCGATGTTATCAGAGCTGAAAAGCACTTCAGGGAACATATGGATTATTGTTCATCAAGAAGCTATTGAAACAAAAGGTGTTACCTTGACGTTATTTTTCATGTCCAGTCCTATCATGAACCTTCCCAAGCTGCTGAGAAATCGATCAGCGGAACTATCCTGTGAACAAACAGAAACTGCCTCAGTTCACAAGGGAAGGACAACATGACAACCTTGTGAAGGGCACCACTACTACTCTGTTCATTTAAATGAAATGTGAAGCCATTGAGTAATTGGCTCCTGAGAAACAAGTGACCAGAAATCTAAAGCGCCAACGTTGTGGCTCAAAGTCTCAAGACACCAACATCTCGCTCTAACTGGGTGTGAAGGATTCTTCAAAATATTCCCTTGGCGTCATCCTAAGACCCAAGACTACACTCAATGTGCAGATGTGTCAGACTCATGGCATCTGTGCCTTAGAAGCAGAGACACATACTCTAGGAATATTACTGCTGTCTGTGATCCTAGAGTCCAGATCATCTGACCCCTTCAATTCTCACTTGAAAATGGGAAAACTCAGATACAGAGAAATGAAGTGAATGCTTCTTGGGTCCTAAAGCCTGCTGTCAACTTAAAGAAAATGATTCATTTCCCGTTTAATCAGTGATTGTTTTAGAAAAGTATGTTTAATGCTAAGTTTACTTACCTACTGGCTAAATTTATAAACAAGTTATTGTAAGAGATTTTTAATCCCTGAATTTGTTTTTGATCAATGCTTTCAGATCTTAAATGTACACTGAGCAGTAGCTCAGCCGCGGTTGGCACAAGACCACTAAAGGCCAGTGATGACTTTGTACTCAGCTGCTCCCCTGTACCAGCCAACCAGCCACTTTGGGCCCGTTTTCTGATGTGTCTTGGGATAGGTACTGTACCTTGGCCAGATTCAAGTGCTTCTTCAGTTGCTTGATGGCATCACTAACTTCTTGAGTTGGAGAAAGTAAGTGAGAATTACTGGCTCCCAGAGAAAACCCGCCATACCTAAAAGAACAGCCTAATATTAAAACGCAGACAGTGGAGTGCACAATATCACTAAGCATCAGATACCATTTGAGTGTGTACATGCTTCATGCAGATGAACTGCTTATCCAAAGTAGGACCAAAGTTTCAGAGAAAGTGGCAACTTGGCCATCTTCTAATAGATTCCGGTAATCTCTTTACTCTTATGGTTCCTGCCTAGGTAGGAAGGATCTGGGCCTGATTATAAACAGAGTTAGACATCTGAGATATTGAGGAAAGAATGGTCATTCATCTCACAGATGCTCCTCAGACCTTGGTGGCTCAGGCCTGAACTTGGGTCTCAAGGCAAAGGAATGGGAAGTCAGGACAGGTAGTGAGGGACACTGACCAGAGAGGCTGGGGAGGGCTTACAGACAGGCTTTGGCTCTTTCCTAGCATAAGGACAATTATACTATAGGGGTCTCATTCCACTCTGTTCAGAGTTCTGTGGGTCCTAGCCCTCAGGGAAAAGGCAAAGAAGAAAAGTGGGAAGCAGTGCCAAAGAGCCAAGTTTTGAGGCAGCCATATAAGGTATCTCATTTTTCATAAGGTATGAACTGGGTTCAAGGATTCTTCCTTCTTTTCTTCCCTGGTCTCACTGTTCCTTCAGAGTGATAAATGGGTTGCAATCCAGTAAAAAGGGATGGTTTGGCTGCCTCTTATTTTATCCAATACCTTCTTGGTCCTACTCCAAGGACCAAAATTGTTCTGGAGTCCCGAGAACCCCTGGGAATTTGATTTTGGACATGTAACTAGCATGGGTATTCCCTTCACAACACTGTGCTTCCTGTTAAATCACTAGAAAACCTCAAGGACATCAGTATGAAAATTTTCAAAGGCCTCTGAAATGACAGCTGGGCACAGGGCAAAAATGCTAAGGACAAAATAATCCCTGAATTAACAACTTCCCAGGATCCAAGATACTTGCATCAAAATCATCCCACTGAACAATGAGAGCCAAAGAAAAGTAAATAAAAGCACAGAAAGAGGTCAACTTACCTAAACTCATTCACCCAGATCTTGTTCTTTAAGCTGCGGAAGTCAAAGACAAACCAAAAATCAGTTCAAAGAAACACTGATCCTATTCTCATTGATACAAAGGAGTAAATATCTACCTGAGGATGTAACAAAGGGACAGAAATAATCCTATGACCAGGCTGGAGTTGTAGGGTTATGCCAATGGAAAGAAGCCCTATTCAGCATGTCTTTTCTTCTCCTTGCCTTAAAATCTTATTTACATGAAAATCATGCCTTGGGTTAAACCAATACAAAATCTACCCTATAGGCAAAGACATGACAAAACTAGAAACTTTTTTAATTCAAAGTAATACATCGATTATGGATGACATACATGAAGGTTATGCCTCTTTTTTGGAAATTCACAGCAACTGTCATTCAAACATACCCTTATCATTTAAAGACACTGAGACCTCCTGAGACGACCAACTAACCAAGGTGATGGGAAAGAAATCAGAACAAACATTCCCTGAGCATCAGCTAAGTGTTCAACACTATGCTGTGATGCCCCCGGAAGCTGTATGGCTCCTCCGAGGCTCCACAGCCATGGCGGGCTAATGAGTCGGCCCAGGGCTCTCTTTATGTCATATATTAACATGCATCCCATGCATGAGAAGTACTATATAATTTCATTTAATCCTCACAACAAACTCATAAGAGCAATATTATAACATTTTATAAAAATTAAGGCTTTAAAAGAGTAACTGGTTACCCCTGGTCAAATAGCTAGTAAGTGGCAGAATTAGAATTTGAGTCCAGGTTTATTTTCATTCTGGAACCAGGCAGACTCAATCTGGAAGCTGACAACTGAATGTTCTCAACATTTCTCATCTTGTCTATGTCAAAAGAATATCCTAAACTTCCAAAAGATAACATCAGGCCAAATGTTGATGTTTCCCCCACTGCTTAATCTTCTACTTTTAGATTTTTAATTCCTTTGGTCAGTAATGATAGAGTAAGGAGCAAGTTTAGTAAATAATGACCTTTTGGCTATAATCTGCACATATGTCTTCACCAGATAATCTGAAATGTTTCTTCCCGTCAGGTTCTGAAGGATGTCCACAGTGTTCTGTTTTCTCTGTTATCACAAAAAAAAAAAAGGTAAGTGCATGTGTCTTTATGGACCAGAACTGAGACAGACAGCAAATCAAGGATGACACTGACACATGTCCCTCAAACTTGTACCACTGTGTGACCAGACCCTTCCCAGGCACTGCCATCAGCCAACCATCGAAGCCTGGTACATTCCGCCCTTGGCTCTGGCCATACACATAAGCCAAGATGTTCTCCAGGAAATTATTCTCAACAACTAAACACCAGACTGTAAAATATGATTCTTTATAGCCACAAAAGACTTTTAGGAAGCAGCATCAGTGACTATGCCTAGTGAATTCCTTTAAAATTGGTGATATACTAATGAATAGATTAGCTGTTATTTCAGAGAGGTAACCAGGACTTTTTTAAGTTCTCACACCGTTTAAAATTGCTGGTCCTCACCTTGCAACCAGAAAACTGGTAAAGCAGCTGAGAACTATCACAAGCAAGCCTTTCTGAAATTGTTCTCAGAAAAAATGGCTCTGAAGCACTTTCAACATTTAGAGTCTCAGAGAATGTCAGAGTTAAGACTTGCAAAAGCTTTATGGACCTGGCTCCCTAACTCAAAGGTGAGGAAATAGGCCCAGGGACTCAGAGTGGCTTATCCAAGGCCACCATCCAGGGATAAAGCTGGGCCTGTCACAGTCTGTCCTGTGATACTATCACTCTGGGAGGGACCATAGTGTGTCTCCCATGGCCCATTGTCCCAGAGTATTGTGTTCTGGTTGTAACTCAAACAAGTAAGTAACTAGCCTGACTTTTCCAAATAGAGAAACAGGCAAGGCTCCCTCAGATATAGCACAATGTGGTTCAAGCCCCTCCCTCCAAAAAACGCATGCTTTTTCCTATGATAAGAATTAAAATCAAGACTAAAAGAGACCCTCCTCACATGATATGTCATCCATTCCTTCTTCCCCAGCCCATCCTGTACCCCCATCTGCTGTTACACTTTAAGAGGGACTCACCTGTGGAGGAGGCAGCCCCCCTGCCCCCAGGGGACACACAGGCAGCATCTTCTTGATTCTGTCGCTGCTGCACTGGCAAGTGGGTGAGGGGTTCTCCATCGTCCAGTTCCCGTTCTGGAAGAGGTCCATGATGGTCTGGGGAACTGGGGCGGTGGTCCAGTCATCCTCCCCCACCGAGCAAGGCATGTTTCTGCAAAAGGAGGGCATCGAGTAGGATCACCGAGAAGGCCTAGCCTTTCCTGGTGCCTCAGGAGTGCGGGATCAGTCAATAACAACTGCAAACATGCATTTACCCCTCACCATTTGATTATTTGATCCTCCCATAGACTTCATGCTGTAAACTCAATCACTCACCCATGTAGTCACTCAAAAAATATTCATATTCAGAGCAACTACTATCTGTGAGACACTGTTCTGCATATTTGAGTCTGAGTGAACAAGACAAAGTCCTTGCCTTCATGGAGTGTGTTCCCATGAAAGAGAGAACAATTAAAGAGTGTATTCTTAGATGGCCAAAAATGAAGCAAAACAAAAGGAGAGTGACATTTCAAGGAGCCAAAATGCAAATGATGAGAGAGAACAAGCCAGGCATTGGTTCGGGGGTACAGAAAAATACAAGCAGAAGCAACAGAAAGCACAGATGCAAAGGCCCCAAGGTTTCTGCTAGGAACGGGAGGGAAGGCAGTATGGCTGGAATGTGATGAGCTATGAGGAAGAGAAGCAGGCAGGGGCCAGATGACAGAGGCCTGAGGAAGAGTCTTGATGTGCTCATGATCTGGTAGAGAATGTCAAGATTCATTTTATGTTTTAAAATGAGTAGAGAACTGGGGGTAAGTGGGGTGAGACTGATTTGTACATGAAGAGCTATGTTGTTCGCAAGCATCACAAGTGACAAAAAGACGAGGCCTTTATGCTTGACTTGAGTTCTGAATTACTGTCTGATCATCAAGTCTCTTGACCTCTCAGGGTTTATTTTCTCCATTAGTAAAATAAAAGTATAGAATGACTTGTTTCAATAAGTCATTTCCAGTATTCCTTTCCAGCTCTAAAGTTCTACAATTTAAAGTGGAGCCACAGTCTTTATAAAATCAGAGAAAATGAACAGTTTGGTGGATTGCTCTCTAGTTCCCTGTAAAGTGCCTCAACTAAATGAAAACTTCAAACTAGGGCATGGTACCCACCTGAAGTTCACATTCTAAAACTGTCGCAAAATGATTGGCCAAGACAAAGGTAAATGCCACAGGGAAGTGTCCCAGTCAAACTTCCCTCAGTTCCACTACTTTCTGAAAAAATCTGAAAGTGTCCAGAGTGAGGCCTGCACATCAGGAACCTCAACACAGGTTCAGTGGTGCTCAGCCTCAAGGTTGGGGGCCCTCTGATGCCACCTTTGTCTCTGTAGATGAGATCTCAATCCAGACCCAGCTCCTGTAGACACTCTACTGGCTGGCATTAATCTGTGAGTCCAAACTGTTCAGCTGGCATGTGATAAATCCATCTCACTCTATTATCATCTCATCTCATTCTTCTATCTCACCTACAGAATTTTCAAGTGGAATCTCATCAAGTCTTATGAAATCCAGACACGGTGTCTCTTTGTCCTTCTCCACTTTAGTCATCTTGCTCTTAGAAACTGATATTGGCTGCTAGGATTTACCACTCATTAAGTATTAAGCACTAACAAATATTTAATAGCATCCATTTAATAAGAGATAGCAGATACATAATAGCTATCCGTTTAGAAATCTGCTCTAAAACTTTGCACACAGGCTATCTATCACACTCACTGGTCTGTGACTTTGGGAGGGTCAGTATCTTCCCTTTAAAACCTAGAATTGAAGTTAGCCCTTCTCCAATTTTTTTACACCTTCCCAGACTTTCATAACTCCACAGACTGTGGTTAATGACCTCAACTACAAATTCTACTTGAACCCCCACCTTATCATCGCTGGGTTCTCTCTGGCACTCCTCGCCTCTCTTCATTGTCTTTACTCACAAAGCTCTCTGGCTATACCTTCCCAGCATACCCGCTTAGTCTGTGGGTGCTTAACTGAATTTATTCTACACTGCCTACTTTTTAAAAAAGATTTTGAAGGACACCACCATAAAAATACGCAACTCTAAAGAAAGAGACTATTTTCATAAAAACTACATCATCTATTCATGTAGTTAAAGAAACTGAAAAGCAAAGCGGCAAATTTTATATACATATAAATTTTATATATATTATAAACTATATATATATAAAATGGCAGCCTATCTCTGCACTTAGGCATGGGAGTTGGGGGAAGGGAAGCAGGGAAAAGCATTTGATCACTAAGTATAAAGTGCTATTTAAATTAAATGTTAATTTCTGAAGCAGTAAGCAAATATCTGTAGTGCTTTGCTTTGCAGGATGTTGGAAGACTCTCTTAGTCTGTTGTTTGTTCCTAGATGGTCTGATGACTGTATTAGCTTTTTAAAAACAAAAAATGGTTCAAAGGGCAAATGATGGTAGTCATGGTGTAGTATACAACTGATAACTGCAGTGTATTAGAGATCAAACCAGGTGATAAGAACGAGAAGCCAGTGGAGGGTCTCCTCTCTGAAGTGGCACTTACGGGATTGGGTTTCCTTCCATACATCGGGTTCCAAAGCCAGGGTCCTTGGTGAGGGCACTCAAGAGTTCCAGGGTGCCCATGTCCTCAGGAGCATCATTACTACGGGTACATGAGAGGCAGCCAGCTCAGCAATACATTAAAATCATAAAGTTCAAAGAGGAAAAGTTTCTTTTTAATAAATACTTTATTAAGTATTTCTTGTCTGACAAGCTCTTAAAACAGAAATGAATAAAACAGAACCTACTCAGAAGGATCTCGACTCTGGCCACATATTTAGTATCATAGTAACACACAGTACTCCAAAGTGGAGCTTGTGTAAGTCAGTTACACATACAGAGGTGTGCATGTGTGTGTGTGTGCACGTACTTCAACACACTAACATACATACTTTAACATGAGATAAATGAATTTTTTAAGGATCAGTGTTTCAAAAATACTTCTATGATTATCCCTTAGGCAAAGACAATCACGATATTCTAGTAAAGGACAGAAAGATTTTATTGGCTGAATCTTTGCATGAATAACTAGAAATCATAAATAATAATGGACTCAGGTGATAAACACAAAACACACCCATATTCCACAGCCCTGGACACTATAGGGTCAGCAGCTGGGAAAGGAAAGAGTAAAGTAAACCTGCACTCAATAGGAAGGAAAGGTGGGTTAGAAAAAGAGACCGATTCACATGTTTATGTATTTTTTGTTTTTTTTTAAAGCTTTTCTTCTACATCACAGAAACACTTCTCTGATCTAAAGGTCTACAAATACTATAGGACTGAAGAAAACTCCAGTGTAAGGAGATGGAGGAATTCCTCTCTTTGTTTAAAGCACAGACTGTTACAGAGTAGCTGGTATTTTTGTCTAAAGAACAAACACCAGCTAACATCTACAACTTAAAAGACTAGATAATAAATACATGCATTGTACTGTGTTGAAATCAAGTATCTGGAGGTGCAATGTGTTGACAGTGTCTTGAAGCCCTGTGTTAAAACTACAAAATTATACATAGCTATGAAAATGCAGATATATTATAGCTCAATCACAGATTGTTTGCAAGGGCAGATTATTTATGTAAAACACATATGCCTGTTCCTGACAACAGCAGTATAAAGAGGAGATGAGCTCAGATGTGGCAGTAGAGGACCGGCCTATTCCTTCAGGTTTTGTTCACTACTGGTCTTTGCATATAATATTAGTTAGTGCAGAAGCTTCTGCCACAGCTGGTAAAATCCATTACACTGTGTGTTTCTTGAGTCCACTTCCCCTTGGCCCTCGGCACAGCAAACACCCTTGGTTAGCTCGAGCTCTCCTCTCTCCTTGGGCGTAGAAGGCAAACACATACCTGACAAACGTATACTGTTCGTTGTACATCCAGGGCTGAAGTTCTAGGCTGGGGTACTTGCCAAAAGGTGGCACGATCAAGCTGAACACCAAGGCAATGCACACAAACACAGCTGGCAAGACAATCTATAACCAGGTGGCAGAGGGAAGAAGGATGAGTGTTAGAAAGGTAGCCATGGGGCCAGCCTCCCAGACCAGCCAGCATGCAAGAGAGGAATACAATGCCCATAGACAGACTTAACCACTATTGGCAGATTAGAAGCAGGACAACTCCCAAAACTAAATCTCTTCCCTCCAGGGCATTTCCAGAAGCTGGCAGCACAAGGCCAGAGGTTATGGCCACCTGGTAACTGCATCAAACTGAGAACTTCACAAAGTAAACCGGAGTCATGTGTCAGGATGACTTGGAATGGAACGTGGGGTTCTGCCCTCTTCCCACTGAAAACCTGAGAAAGACCTCACTGGGCCATGAGCCCAGCAGACCTGAGGTTGGTCTGTCTCTATAAGTATATCCAGGTGAAGTCAAGCTCCCTCTGGCCTCAGTTTTCTCATTTGTAATCTGCACTGAGACTAGAGGACCCATCCAGATCCCATACAGTGATAAAACCACCCTAAGGCAATGCCTCCCTTGAAGAGAATGGCAGCCATGGTCTCACCTGTAGCCTCAAAAAGCATAATTATCTAAGTCTTTCCTCAACCACCTCAAACTTTACACTTGTACCTTCTCTCAAAACAATGATTTGTATGTATTTTATAAGTAAACTGGAAGCTCCTTCTGTTTATTCCTGAGAAGTATGTCATTAGAAAACCTTAAAAGATTCAAATGATACCCTTGACCCTAACGTTCCGGGGTTTCAACACTGAACATTATCACTGCGTGATTAATTCAATGGGAAAGTACTATAGTGATAATTAGCTCATTTAACCATCATCACAATCCTAAGTAGTGGTATCATCATCACCAATCAACAAACAAGGTGACTAAGGCTCAGAGAGACTAAGTAACCTGCCCAAGTTCACACAGCCAGTAAGTAGCAGAACCAGAATTCAAAACCAGGCCTGTATGCTCCAAACTTAGACTCAGCATTACTCACGCCGTATGTAGGGAAGAATCTCTGCAGACTCTGTCTCTATACTTCTCAATTTTACAGAGAAGAATAATTTTATCCCTCCTAACCAAACAAGTTAGCATGCCAAAGCTGATTTGCAGGCAACAGTGTAATGAGTCTTCTGTTTGCAATATTTTTCTGACCTCTCTGGTTATCTTTTCTATCAGTTTGCACTTAAACATCAATTTAGAGAAAAATCAAGTTTCGATAAGTTCCTATGTCAAATGCATCTGAGCACATTATCTCTCAAGTTATGAAAGTTTAATTTGCCTAGCTAGTTTTTCTATACTTTGTCCTTGTTACATTCTCCTCTAAATAAATTAACATACATATACACACAGAGAAGTAATACTAATGCGAGGCTCATTCTAAGCACTTATTCATTTTAACCTTCAAAACAACCAACCATATGTCACAGGAACTATTCGTATCCCCATTTTACAGATGAGGAGATTGAGGCCCAAGAAGTAACTTGCCAGCAGATACTCAAGTGGCAAGAAGCAGAACTGGGATTGAAATACAGATAATCTGGCTCCAGAATCCATCCCATAACCACAGTGCTATCCTGCCATCAATGGTAAGAAAGCCTACAGCCCACCCATAAAGCCCAAGTCCTTTGGCCTGGAACAGCACTTCTCACCTGAGCAAAGAATCCCTTCCGACTCCGTCTGGCAATCAGCAGCCTCTTCCACAAAAGAGCCACAAACTGTTGCTGTGTGAGTTTCCAGCCCTTCACCTGATAGGAGCCTTTGCCGTCCATCCCACTGAGCAGGTCTGTTTCTCTGGATTCTGCAAGAAGTCAACACTTAAGGTCAACTATTATCTTAATCACTTTTGACATCACCATGCTTCTCCTTCCAGCATCTTCATCAATCAACTTGGAGGCTGAGTTTGAAGGTAAAAGTATCTCAGGAGTAAAGGGCTTTCATGAAAAATCCAGGTCCAAAAAAAGTTGTGACTCCAAATATGCAACCACAATAGTCTCTGTCTTTTGGTTCTTGTCTGATACATGCAGAAAATGAAGGTGGCTTGAGACAACTAAAGATATGTATTCACACAGAACTGGGTGTTACACTCAGTCGTTTAGAAGAATCAAGTCATCCTCAATTTCTATGAAAGAGGCCATGGACGTAGGCTGACACACGTGAGAACACACAATGGCAGTCTGTGTCCCATCTATTATACTTTTGGGTAAAAGGTAGACACATTCAAGTGATCTAAGTACTGATGGCATATGAAGTCAGGGAGGACAGGAGAGTCACACACTCACATGAGCAAGGACTGGGAGAGCCACAGTCTTCTGTTCCTAAGAGTTTTATAGAAATCCTTGTCCTGACTACAGTGCTTTGACATCTTATGAATATTTGCTTGATTTCTTGCCTCTCCTTCTCCACCCCAATCAAACACATGGGGACACACTCACCCAAAATAAGTCTAAGGCTACAGTTAAATCTAAAAGCAAATTCACCCAACTCTTTCAAAATCATCCATCCATTCAAAGACTATGTATTCAACAATTAAACGCCTAGGTAAGCAAGAAACTGGGGTTCCACAGAAAAGATAATGAATGGATTCAGAGGACTGAGGGACCATCTTTTGATGTGTATCTTGAGAAAAAGATCTCAGCTCAATGAAGAGAGTGACGAAGATAGGCTCTTTCAGGTTTGACCGCATGTAAAACACCAGAAAAGAGAAAGTGGCTTTCCTCAGTTTTTCACTTCCCTTTGGACTCTGAAGGTATCTATCATTCTGGTTCAAGGCCATCAAAAGATAACACCAAAGAAGAACATAAAAGAAAAATTCACTTTCAAGCAATGGAACACAGATCTTGCCCCAACAGACCTGGGTCAATGTCAGAATCATTTGGATCAACAGCATCGTCTTCAGTGAATGGGCGAAGGCAGCTCTGCTTGTCCCCGAAGACCCGTCTATTTCGTCTTGCTGGTAAAGTGCCATCTGAAGGCAGAGGGGGGGAATCCTACATTTTACTTTATTTGTAACAAAACAAACTCTCCCCATCTATAACAAACCTATACACTAAAAGTAAGATGTAATAAAACAATACAAAGAGAAAGGCACAGTAGTGGTGAGCTACCACAGCCTGTAGGAGGGCACAGCTTAGAGAACGTGCAGCCAGCCCCCTAAAGGGTTACCTGAGGTCTCAGCATCCACCCCACTCTCTTCAGCCACTTTGAGAAATATCTGAAAAATGAGAGTAATTAAAAATATTATAAGCACCATGTTATGAAAACAGTCACCACTGCCATGATGAGTATATTACCGAATGGGATGGTAGGCCCTAAAAACAAAAAGTAGAAGCTTCATTTATTAATCACACTCTGTCAGAGTCACTTGGGAGAGAAGCTGTTGTTACCAGAGAACATTTCATCAGTGGCAAGACTATCAATCCAGACTATCATTTTCAAATTAAAGACTATAGTATTAGGACACCGCAGCAGAAGAAATTTGCTCTGAAACTCCAGGGAACAAGCCAAGTGGCTTCTTCCAGGTCTGCGGCCCCAGATCTTTGAGTGCAGTAGTACTGTGACAGATTATCCAAGACAGAATGATCAGGAAGCAATGGGCTTCCCATCACTAGAAATGTTGTGGCAGGAATTGAAAGCTAAGAGAATTTGAACTAGACCAGTGACTTTTAAACTCTGGTCTACAGACCACTGCCTAGGGAGCATGTGATAATAAAAGCACAGACATCAAGGCCTCACTTCCGGAAATTCTAATTCAAAGAACCTGGAGGTGGGCTTGGAATTTTTAGTGCCACTAACATCCCCAGATGATTCTACTGCATAGTCAAGTTTGGGGACCACTGGGCCAGACAACTTTTAAATCCCTCCCAGTCCTTGAGGCCTGTGCTGCTATATTTCTAAAGGGAGACATTGCTGCATAGTAAAAAGAACATGGGCTCTGAAGCCCAAAACCCCTGATCCAAATCCTAGCTCAGCATCCCTGAGTATCTACTTTCTCAACTTGTTATGAGGATTAAATGACATTTCAATGAAAAAAAAAAAAAAAGCTTAGCACTTGACACATGTAGATTTTCCATCAATGCTGGCCATCTCCTACGCATGGTCATACCGGGAAGCAACCCTAATACTTCTTTCCTGCTATCTCCCACTACAACCTTAAAGGGTTACCTGGGACCGACATTACCCAGATGCCAATGCTCTAAAATCAGTGACCCTGTTCCATGGTCATCCTATTCCCAGTGGAAATGGAGGCTGCATGTCTGGCCTTTAGACTGTTGGCCCTGCTATATTCTGACAGTGGGTCACTTAACCTACCTCTTCCAGGGTAGTCTCTGAGATGCCATAACTAGAGATGCCCAGGTCTGAGAGCCGGTCATCGATCTCATGAAAGAGTTCCACAAAGGCTCCCTCTTTGGCAGCTTTGTAGGGCAGCACGTAGGTCAGCTCATGTCCAATGTCTTCTACCAGCCGGGCCTCGGCCACATGTTTCCTGATGAGGTTGGAGATAGCAGAGACATCTGTAGGGACAGAAGCACAGAGATGGCTCAGTCAGCTCAGAGGCCCCACATTAAGGGCCAGCCATCATCCCCTGCCTACTCCTCAGAAGCCCACTGCCCATATACTACACCTATCCCAGGCACTTAAGTCATCCCACATGTTCACCTCTGGCGTGAGAGTTCCTGGGGACAAGGACTATGTCTTATTCACCTCTGTATCTCCAAATCCAGGCACACTGTAGGTTCTCAGCGCATGGGTGGGTGGATGGATGACTTTGAGGTTGAAAGCCTGATCTCTGTCCCCTAAACTCTGGTATTCTTCAACAGAAAACTTGACTAAATAAACCCTAAAAGATTCTTCACCCTGCCCTAACCTTCGCAGAAGGCTCCTTCTATTTGCCTCAATAGAAGTTTAATCAAACAGTTCATGGAAGAAGAAGTCTTCCTGGAAAATGTCAGCTATGAGGATTGGGCAAAGACAGCCACGGTAGCAGCTTCTGTTCCATATATTCTACTGGTGACACTGGCCTCCTATACACATTTTCTGAGAAGAACTTGGCAGACTTTTCCTGATCTCCTAGGCTCTTGCCTCCTTAGGTGCTGAGCTCCAGTCCCTCCCCATCAGCTTGGCCCCTCCACTCCTCATCCCTGATCTCCAGTGTTCAGCCAGATCCACCACCCCCCTCAGGGATCCCCTCACCCCCAACCATCTCAGCTCTCTGGGACACTACCCTGTCAGCTCCCAGACCAAGCCCCAGGCTTCCAAGCAAGCGTTAGGCCAATCCGCCACCAAGCTGCACCCTCTCCCCCAGCCACCCAGCCCGGCCCAGCAGCAAACCTTGAGTCAGCGCCACCAGCCTCTGCACCTCTCCTCCTCTGCCTCCACTCTGCCCAGCTGGGGGAAGCTCAGGCACCACCTGAATAAGAAACCCCAAAGTCCTTACCGATGGTCAGCGTGTCACTTTCATGGTCACTGCCCAGGCCAGCATCAGAACTGCTCTGAGAAACACTGTCCTCCTGATGGCAAAGAAGGAGGTGAGAATGGGTCAGGGACCGAGCAAGGCATAGCCGCCACCACCTTCAATGGGGAGGGTTTCCAGTAGGCTCTACTGTGTGAAAACTGGAGCCAAAAGCTTCTCCTGAGAGGTGTGCAACTGGGTGGACATGGTTTTTGAGGCCGCTGTCTGACATGTGTGTGCTGTGCAAATGAACTCACCTCCTGGAGGTGGGAGGCTGGGAAGCAGAGCTAACAACACAACTGTGGCCTGCCAAGGAATGCCATAACCAGGCATGGGATTTATCTGGCTAGTTGTCTACTTCGGTGCTTCTAGAATGTTCATCAAGAGGGCGTGTTTAATCAAGAGGGCACCGTGTTAAAATGCAGATTATGATTTAGTACATCTGAGCTGGGCCCAAGTTTTTGCATTTCTAACAAGCTCCCAAGTGATCTCAATGCTCCTGGTCCTCAAAGCACACTTGGAGTAACCAGGTACTAGTAAAAAGGTAAATAAGTGGATGGGAGTTCAAGGTTGGACCCTAAACGTTTTAGTTTCTTGCCACCGGTTTCGACACAAATAAATCTAAGGCAGGTACTGTGGTACAGAGGAAAACGTACCTGGTTATTGGGTTCTGGTCCCACCTCCATTATTTACCTGCTGGGTGAACTTGAATAAACTACTAAATCACTACAAATCTCACGTCCTTCATCTGGGATACTAATAACAATATCCTCTTCCCAGGCTTACTCTGCACTTGGAGATGACATTAAAAAATTTTTAAAGTTTGCAAATGAGAACAATGCTACAAAGATTTATCATTATTATTTTCTTTTATGCCCAGAGTCTGCTACAGTATCTGGCATGAAATCAGTGCTCAACACACGTTTGCCGCTTTGTACTCTAAAACTTAACGTCAATGAGATTCAAAGGTGATGAGCAGGTACAGCAGGGCATTCTGCAGCCAGGGGTCTTAACTCTTGACAAGTTTCTTTTCTCCAACCTAATAAAGTCCTCTAAGGGCCTTCTCTATCACTCATTGGGTCTCCAATTGTGTCTTTTCTTCTCATGAAAAAGGAAAAAAAGAAATGGGGTTGAATAGAGCTAGCATGATGGGAACAGAAGTCTCCTGAGTCTTACACATATGGGGTATGATATGATTCCAAAAGGACCACAGAGCACAGAGATGGTGGCCTCAACATGGCAGAGTGGAGTGGAGACAGACAAACCATTCATAGACAACAAGTCCTGACTCCCTGGACCCAGCACCAGCCCAGCACTGAGACTGCGACTCACCTTTTTCAGGTATGACACAGTGCTACTGCTATTTCTGCAGGAACTGAGGGAGGATTCCACGTCCTTCTTGACGAGGGTGAGGTAGTAGCCTGTTCCCAGCTGGTTCTTCAGAAACAGGGAGGAGCCCATACAGCACAGCTTCCCATGGGAAATGATGGCAATTCTGTCCCCCAGGATGTCTGCTTCATCCATGTGGTGAGTGGAGAGAATAATGGTGCGGCCTGCCAGGCACAAACACAAGGATGTGGGACACGTGAGGCCTGTCAATTCTCACTGACTGCAGTGGCCAGAGCTAAAGAAATACTAGCAGAGATAAGCATGGAAGAAAGACCTGGAAGCCTCTGTGGCCATGACCTCCTAGGATGGCAAAGCTGTGAGTACAGCTACCATATCCTCATAAAAATAATAATGGGAACATTTATTTGGGAACTCACTACCTGCCAGGCAGTGTGTTGGGTGGTCTACATGCTTCTCATTTAACTTAATCCTCTATGAGGTAGGCACTACTATTATTACAGGTAAAGAAACTGAGGCAAGTTAAATGACTTTTTCGAGGTCTCAGGGCCAGCCAGAGCTGGTTCCAAAACCCATACCTCATACTGTCACCAGAAGGTGGTAACTAACCTAAAATACTTTCAACACCTCTAAGCAGGCTGCCAATAGGGCTCCTGCACCTCCCCGACCCATTCACGTATTCGCCCACTCTTAGAACAATCATGAATTTAGTGCACCATGTTTGGGACAGAGATGAACAGAGACACAGCCTCTGCTCTCAGGAACCTCAGTCTATATGGACACAGTTATAATACACATGAGTGAGTTCTTTGCTAGAAGTGACACTGGGGACCCAAAGATGTCCTTTATACCCATGTCCCTTCTTGCAGGTCCCTAAGTAGTGAAGCATAAACTTTAAATCTCTTGTAAACCAGGGCTCCCACATCCATACACAGGCAGGCATATAACTTTAAGAAAAAAAAAATCTGCATTTTCCTTGAGAAGCAATTCTGTTGCTCTAGCAAGAACAGCCATTAACTACAGCCATACTTCTTGAGCCTCTCCCTCCCTGTCTCCCAGCCTATGACGCAGAAGAAAAGCACATCAGTTACCTTGTCGGTATTTTAGCAGGAGCTCCCATATTCCCCTGCGGGAGTAAGGATCAACACCAGCTGTGGGCTCATCCAGAATGACAACCTTGGATCCACCCACAAAGGCCAAGGCCACAGATAGCTTTCTCTGCATTCCACCTATAAGAAAAAAAGAGAGGATTGAGGATCAGCCTCAGACAGTGAGAAAGGCAGAAGTAGAGATAAATAAAGGGAGAGCCCATCGGGGGACAAGTCAAGGACATGTTTCTGACCCCCCTCCCCTGGGAGGGGACCCTGGGGCAGCTATTGTTTTTCGTGTGTTCATGTGTGTGTGTGTGTATGTGTGTGTGTGTGTGTGTGAAGAAAAGGAAGGGCCAGGCCTCACCTGACAGCTGATTTGTTTTGCTTTTCAGCTTGCTGGGCGGCAAACCAACATCCAGGGCCATCTGCTCCATCTCTGCTTTCACATGCTTCTCTGAGAGTCCCTTTAGGCGGGCGTAGAACCAGATGTGTTCTTCCACAGTCAGCCTGGGGACAGAGGGGCAGGTTGGCCCTGGGCCCTGCAGTATGCACCAAAATACAGTGCCCCCTGACCCTGAACAGAAGAGAATGGGTGGGTACATTTTTCTCTCCCTTTTTTTAAAAAAATTTTATCAATTCTTGAAAAATAACCTTCAGGAAAGATACAAGGGAGAACAGCAGTAAGCGACCACATGAGCTGCTTAAAAAGTCAAAGCTGAGATGGGGCAGGTCACTTCCAACCTGTTCCAAGCAGGCCCAGCCACCACGCATCAAGCAGTTAGTTACAAGTCCTCAAAGGGCCCCCTCCAAAACCCCATTAACCAAGAACCTGGCTCAGCGTTAACTTGAATTTCAAAGGACCTCAGATCCTAAGAGAAAGGAGGATGCACTTTAGATAAAAGGAAATTGGGGCCCAGAGGGAAAAAGTCCTTGGCCAAGGTTATGAAGCCCAGGTCTTTCTCTGCTCCATCATGAGGGCTCCCTGGGGCCCCTTACTTGCTGATGGGGTAACATGGCATCAGGCAGAAGTGAGATGGGAGAAAGGATGGGCCAGCCCTCCAGAATGACGACGAAAGCAAGCACCATTTCCCAAGTCCCCCATCCACTAGCTGGACTGATGTAACATCTCCCATCCAACAATTCACCTCCTACTTTTCCTAAAATCAAAGGACAACCAGGTCTCAATGTGTCCAGAGAAGTGAGGCAAGCTGCCCCTCAAAGAAGGTCAAACATTTAAGTCCTAGTCTGCCCATGACTCACACATCCAGAGAGGGTCTGTTCCTCAACACGCTGCTAGTACTCACATGTCAAACAGCACATTGTGCTGGGGACAGACTCCCAGGTTCTGCCGGATGGTGCTCATCTCAGAGCGAATGTCTTTTCCCAGGATGTAGGCGGTGCCCGAGGTAGGAGGAAACAACCCAGTCAGGATTGACCTGAGGACAAATATTTGAAAGTAGAGGAGTCAGCATTAACTCTCTGCCTCCCCAAAAATGCTCCATTCCAGTCTGCAAAGCCAGCGCAGACAAAGCAGAGGCATCGACCTCCCTACTCCCCGTTCCATCCTAACGGACTCTAACACCCCCACAAAGCAAAGTCTTTGCTTTAGTCAATAACTAGGAGTGGGCCCATGTGTTGGAAAGATGATTTCAGTATAAGCATTTTTTAAATGAAGATTCCAATTTGCAATGAAAAGTACACTTTAAGACATACACTTCTGTGACTAAGATCATGTCCACATAAAATGAACAAGAAATTATGCGAAGATAAAAATAATTTTTGTGTCAAGTGGCAGGATTTTTGTATGCCTTTTTAAGATTTTCTGCAATGCTCATATATTGACTGTGCATTAAAAAAGATAAAGCAGGGAAGAAGGTCACCCCCAAAGATATACCCTTTGCAATGGTTTAGGGACTACACTGAAAGCCAGAGACAAACTCTCGTGTTTCTATGGCCTGCGCGCCCTTCTGAATCTGCCACTATAAGGTCGTTGTAGGTCCCAGAGAAGGCAATCATATAGCCCGCTCCAACACATCTAACCTTCCTTTCCACATCCTTGTCTCACAGTTCTGAGCAAACCAGCTCCAAAGAAGACCCTTTCTCAGAGTTGTCATAGCCTCAGGTTCCAAGAATGAGGCCAAATTCTGAGAACTGAATGGGGATGGTCATCAGAAGGTTCCCCCAGCCTGCCTTAGACTGAATACTAGCACTTGGAAAGCATTCTCATTATTAGATATTATTTTTACACTCATCGACCCCTGTGTTCTGCCCTTGCCCCAGTGACCAACACAATGTTCCTAGGTATAAATTTCTAACTGTGCTACAGAACCTTCCTGTGGCAATTCTGAGAGAGCCACACCCTCTTCTTACATGGTGGTGGTCTTCCCAGCTCCATTGTGACCCAGGAAAGAAGTGATCTGGCCCTCATAGAAATTCAGGGTCAGGCCATCAACGGCCACCTTCATGCCATCTCGGTAAACCTTCATGAGGTTCTGAATGGACACTCCCAGTTTCAGGTGGGTGGGTTCCTCCTCTATGCAGACTGTGAGAAAAGAGAAGACAGGAATGAACCCACAGAAAACAATGATGATTGGAGTGTAAAGACTCAGGGGCTGTGCTTGTACTTTTAGAACTGTCTTCTCTCCATGGCTACTTCTGGGTGCTTAGGAAGGCAGGCAAGCTACAAATATTTATTTAAGGCCTATTTGGGCACTGGTGTTGGTGAAGAGGATACAATGATAAAGGAGGATTCACAATCTACTGGGGGGAAAAGACTTGACAATCAATGAAAATATAGATGCTAAAAGCTGCTTACAAAACACATCTAAAAATGCTGTGAAACTGTGGTACAGCCATCTTGTGGAATACTACTCAGCAATGAAAAAGACTGAACTATTGATACAAATTACAAACTGAAAAGAACTCAAGGGAATTATGAGTGAACAAAAAAGCCAATCTCAAATAATTACATACTGCATGGTTCTGTTTATATAATATTATGGAAATAAAATTGTAGAAGAGAACAGGTTATTAGTTGACAAGTGTCAGGGATCGGGGAAGAAGAGCAGTAGCTATTAAGGGGTAGCATGAGGGAGTCTGTGGTGATGAAAAAGTTCTGCATCTTGGCTGAGCTAGCGATTAAATGAATCTATACCAATTATAAAACTGCACAGAAATAGACACACACACACACACAGAGTGCACGTAATACTGGTAAAATCTGAAGGTCTGTGAAATGCACCAATGTCAATTTCATGGTTTTGATATTATACTATAGTTATATTAAATGTTACTATTGGAGGAAACTGGGTGAGAGGTACAAGGGAATCCCCACCCCATACAATTTTTTGCAACTGCCTGTGAGTCTACAATTATTTTAAAATAAAAACAGGTTTTTTTTGTTGTTTTTTTGTTTTTGTTTTTGTTTCTTTAATGCTATGGAATCTCAGAAAAGGGAGTGACTAACTACTTGAGAAGCTAGGAAAGCTACTCAGGGGAAGGGATACTGAACTAGAGCTTGAAGAGTGAGTAGGAGAAGGAATTTAGAAGGCAGACAAGTTGGAGAGAGGGTTCTCCTAAGAGAGAAAACTACACACAGGGCATGAGGATGTCGAAGAACA